AACAACTAGACTCAAGCACACAAAACTTGCCTTTCTTCACCTTAGGCAAGCTGAAATAGCAATCCCATCCTGGAACCAAAATCATGTCATCGCGAAGGTCCTTCCGTTGAATCTTCGTTTCCTGGAAGACAACAATGTCTGCCTCGAGGATGTCAAACATTGCCTAATCATGTTAGTTCGAGTTTGATGCGCGAGAAGACCAAAGGGATGGATATACATCGAAGGTCCGCTTGCCTCTCCATGGTTCGTAGGAGAATGGATTTCTGCGTCGGTCAGTGACAAGCCATTCAATCGCAGCTACAACGCATAGCTCACACACCGGATCCCATTGACTGCAAGTTACTAATTAGTACATGATTTGGCCCAGGCTATGGTTTGCAACATATCGATATGTTTGTTGATCCGCACTCACCGTTCCATGTTGTAATACGAAGCCCCATTCCGTCTCTACCGATCTAATCGACGCATACCCACCGGAAGCATAAAGTGGAGGAAATAACTCTGAGGTATCTGGATTATATCGCCGCCCCGGCGATTCAGATGCATGGATTAAGCAGCAACCAGTTAAAGTTAACTCCGGGAGCTTCGAGAAAGCATGGGACCGACACGTGACTGTGACATCACGGGGCGGTCAACATTCGAGGCGGAATTCGTGCTGACATAATGGCGCACTGCCTGTGGCCGGAAACCAGCGAATCACGGGGACACTAAGCGGCTTTTGGTTCGTTAAGCCGGCAGGGCCGACATCCGCTGATATTCCCACCGTCAAAGACGTCGTACGTTGTTCCACACCAACAACTAGCAGACACACTCCGATTGTCATTGTCCACAACCACCACCAAGCCCCAACCATGTACGCTCAGCGCAGTCTTCTTCGCCTGCCCCAGCAGCTGCGTGCTGCTCCGGTCCGCGCCGCCGTCCAGCGCCGCCTCAACCACACCGAGTCCAAGCTCCCCTCCTGGGCTGTCGACAACGAGTTCAACCGCGAGAGAGAGGCCGTCAAGCACCACGCTGCTGCTACCAGTGGTGCGTATCCCTTCTCGGGGAAGAGTGGTCTCCAATTGGGGTCCAATTGACTTCCAACTTCACCGATTTACCCATCTGCAATGGATCTACACATCATGCTAACTCTACGGGGTTGTTTCCAATGCTCCAACAGACCTCTGGCGCAAGCTCTCCATCTAGTACGTTTGCGTTATTCCTCACTGCTTGCCATCCCCTATGGCAGCAGCAATCGATCCCATCCCCGGAGTACCTTGTTCCAAGCCGACCTAAGTCTTTTTACTTACACAAAACTCCAGCGCCGTCGTCCCCGTCTTGATCCTCGGCGGTCTCAACGCCTACAACCTTTGGGAGGAGCACTGGGAGCACTGGGACCACATGCCTCCTCTTGAGGAGCGCACCGAGTACCCCTACCAGAACATCCGTGTCAAGAATTTCCCCTGGGGTGACGGTGACAAGGTGAGTCATCTAATCGATGCAAAGCTTAGGGGGACGTTTTGACTAATCGATTTTCAATTCATATTATAGACCATCTTGTAAGTTTCCCGGCTTTTCTGGCTTCAACTCCACCAAAATTCCCGCGCCAGTTGCTACCTAATACCCCGCAAGCTGGGAACCACGGATTTACCGTCCAAATCGCAGTTCGGATTTGCTAACTTTGATGATCTACAGCTGGAACTCCAGCGTCAACTACCACAACAAGGACAAGGCCACCTAAATGGTCCCGTGGTCAAATGACGGACTAATCAGTTTCCTTGTTGGAACTTATTTCCGAGGCGGATACCGAAGGAACAAATGTACATTTATTGCGGAACATGCAAAATGTAAAGGAACCCTGGGAAGTGGAGAGAAGATGGATGGGATGAAATGAGAGACAGAGACAAAGAGAGAGAGACAAAGAGAGAGTCACACACAACACAATGCTGCTTCAATTTTTATATTTTTCCTTTGTATATTGCGCTTTTGTCAGTTCGGGTGGAAAATCAAGTCCCCATCGCGCGCGATTTGATTTTCGCCTGGCATAAGTGCTTCAGGTTTCGTATGGTTCTATTGTAAGATCTACCGTCTGAAATATAGTGGAGTCTCGTTTCTAAGTAGACATTGGAGAGAGCAACATCAGTCCCACTGGAGACTCTGGTCTGATGAATTCGAGAGACATGCAAAACAGAGCGACAGCATCACGGGCTACACATCCGCCGACTCGAGGCGCCGCTGCTTCTTGAGGTCGAGGTACTTAGCCGCGTAGTCGTTGGCCAGCACCGGATCGCCCGTCAGATGCATGACGGTCGCCTTCTTCGCCATCATCTCACATTGCCCCATGATGTCCTCGAGCTCCTCGTACTGCTCATAGGCGCAATCCAGGTACCCGAGCGCGCGGTTCAAGTACTCTTTCTTGAGGGGCGACGGGGCCTGCCCCTGCCCCTGGCTCTGACTCTGACTCTGACTCCAAAGGGACCCCGCGACACCCATGTTAGCGTCCACGAGCAGTGAATACGCCTGGGCGGCGAGGTCGCGGTCGTCCGCCTCCAGGACCTGCGGCATGATGCTCTCCAGCATGGCGGCGACGGCGGCGAACTCGCGCAGGCTGAGGAGCACCCCGCCCAACACGCAGATGGCCTCCCACAGACTGGGCAGGAGGCGCGACCGGTGGGCGATGCTGGCGGCGCGCATGGCGAGGGAGAAGCCGCGCTGCGGGTGGCCCGACTTCTCGAGGATCCGCGCCTTGAGGCAGAGCAGCTTGACCTGGCTGAAGATGTCGAAGTTGTCCTGGTGGATGGATTGCGCGGTCGACTCGACGAGCTCCAGCGCGCGCGCGTAGTGGCCCTGGCGGATGCGGAAGTCGATCGTCAGGAAGGACAGGAGGAGGGAGATGTCGGTGTCTGGGAGTTGGATCGCTTGCAGTTGGGAGAGGAGATGCTCGGCGGCTACTTTGTTGTCACTGGGAGGTTGTTAGGGAACTGTCTGGTTTTTTTCCACAAGAAAGATTTGTCGGGAGCAGAGATACCGGTAGATATGTCGCTTGAGTTGCAGCACACCGGTGAAGAATGTCCAGTATTGGTTCGCTTTTAGGGATCGAAGCTTTTCAGGCGTGACCTGATCCATGCGGCTGGATATGTCCTTGTAGCGACCTTGTTGTGCGAGCTTTGGGTCATTAGCGAAGATGTCGTGATGAGGAGTGGAGGAGGGGGTGGGGGGATTCCACATACAAGCTGGCAGCTGCGGAATGTACTCTTGAGATAATCTTCAAATGGTGCTCGACTCGCATAGCATTCACGGAAGATTTCGCTGCTCAGCCAAGATAGATGGGTGATTCCTGCTGAATTGTCAGTAAGGCTCAGATGTTTATCGTCGGGGAACAGAACCTATTCTCCCAAAGAGCGATGCTTGAAGTAGAAGCTGCGGGCCCACTGAGTTCATCAGATTCTTCGTGACATTCAAGTGTGAAGCGCGGATTATGTTCTCCATGGACGCGGCAAGGCTCTCCCCCTAGGCATTGTCAGTAAACCACCTGGGCGGTCGAGAAAGACAGCATACATGTTGCAGCTCGAGCTTCGCTTCACTCAACAACGTGGTGCTCAGCAGACTCCACATCTCCGTTTCTTTGGCCTTCGCCTTCAGGAACGAAAGGCCCTCTTTCTCATTGCCTAGCATGCCGGTGTTCTGTATATCCTTCATCTGCTCGGGGAAAGCTTTGCCGAAATGATACAGCCAGCTCATGCAGAAGTTGAGGCAATTCATGTCATGCGATTCACGCGCAATCGAGACGGCTTCCTGCATTGCTGACACAGCCTCTCCATGGCACCCATAGTCAGCCTGCAGGATGGCAAGATTCAACAATGCGTACTGATAGGAGCTTCTGTCACGACTGTGCATGGTGTAGTCGAAGTAGCGATGGAGGTTGTCAAAGGACGAGGGATAGTCGCCCGCCCTCCAGGCATCGAGAAATCTACGAACCAGTCAATCACCGACGTCAAGGGCACCGGGGGCACAACAGAGTTACCTTAGATAGTGTATCAAGTTAGGCACCGTCACGCCCGATGCTATGATGCGCTCTAGCTGTGCTTTCATCTCATCCGGAACTCTCCCACCCAAGCCTGAGGTGCATTAGCAGCGAGAATAGATCGAGGGGAGAGATGGCAATAGTACTTTGTAACTCGTTGATCTGAAATTCCAGGAGCCGCTCCACATCTTTCGTGCTGACGTACTTGTCGTCTTCCGAATCGTCATCGATTTGGCCGTAGGCCACTTGAGAAAGATGGCTTGTCGTATCTAAGCCAAGCTCTAGCAGGTTAATGTCGACCGGAGCCTGCGATCCAGCTGGGTTTTTCCGCGCCCATGAGCGGTAAGTCGGCAACCTGTATCTCACAAACCCCTTCCAGAGCTTGACCGAGTCGTGGAATTGTAGTCTGGTGAACTCCAACTGGGACCGCCGGACGAATGCCCCCAGGGGCGAGCACCGAGAGAGTTTGGTAGAGCTCGTATCGGGAGCCAGACCGGCATCTCGATCCCGAATCTGCTCGTCTCTGGTTTTGGCTAAGAGGTCGGAGATTTCACCGAAGAATACCTCCAGCGCATCGCAGGAGTCGATGGACCAAATCTTCTTCAAGAACAGATCCCATATCGAGCGACCGGGCACGGAAGACGCGTGACCGAGGAGGGATTCTTCAAGGTCTGTAATTGACGCGGAGCTTCGTGTGTCTTTCTTCACTTTGGAGGGGGCCGCCTCCCGGTCCAGGGGACTCAGGCATGAGACCAGGAATGAAAGCACATGAATTGCTGAAGAGTTGGAGACGACGCCATCTACGTAGATGGAAATCAAGCACAGGAGTGCAACTTTGGAAGGGGTGAGATAACGACTCATTTTGATTCTTATCTGCACATTGTATACAGTGGACCTTTCTTTCGCAGGCACAGGCCCGGCTCAACTGAACAGAATTCTCGGGTCTTTCGCGGCTTGCAGCCAGCGCGAAGTAGATCGTGTCGTCCAACGCGAGACAAATGAATCGGCAGGCAGATTGGAGATGGCAAGCCCACTTTCCTATCTGTTCAGTGGTCCGATCGTATAGTGTAGGTTTCAAGATGACGATGCGGAAACGTTGCAGCGCGGTAAACAATAGAGGGAAGAGAAGTGGGGGTGTAGAAGAGGCGAAGTGGATATGTTTAGCTGTAGAGGAAGGCCTAGTACATACGACCACAGGGTGTGGCTCGACTTGAATATTATTCTGAACTGCCAGCTAGGTTGGGTGCGTTCGCTTTTAGAACGTTGCCAGGATTTTTGTTCGTCTCAGTTGTCAATAAATCGGCCGGAGGCCCTTTTTCTCAGCCGGTACCTTGAGCCCTTCCTATCTTCAACTGGTTGTAAACTTGCTGTAAACTTGTTGTAAACATGTTTGTTGTACCAACCATTTGGTTTTCCCATGATCCATATCACGTGCTGTCACATGACCATGGACTCGGGAACTTGCTCATGTGGGGGTAGAACATCACATCAACCTCCTTAGGGATCTCACTATGAACCATTCGAGTCGACCAGGAGGAGTACAGGTAACCATCTACTAAGGTACCTACTGATGTCTGCCGTCATGGGCTAGAAGGAATAGTGATGAAATGCTCAAAAGTAGCGTTTCTTTTAGCTTGATTTGGTTTGCCGAAACTGCAACTTGTCAAGTCGAGCTGGATATATTCGGCTCTGCTCTGCATCGTCTCTCGCGAACCAGAGATATCGGGTCTGTGAGGTACGGACAGGCAATAATCGGATGTGAAGAAATCAAAACTTGGGTACTCAGTGTCATGAACAATGGATTATCGTGGACCAAAATGGCTTCGGGTCTTTCGATCTAAGCGCCGATCAACATTTACACAGAAGGTCGCCCATACAAAAATAACCAGCGCAGGCTCGTCTGGAATGAGGAATCTGATGGCTTACACACACACACACACTTCCCGAAAATACCGCAACCCATTCTGGTTATCGACAATGGACTCATACGCAACTAATCCTTATACTACATGGATGTTTCCGGAACTGCAAGACCGCTAAATTCCTGAGGAGATATAACCCTGAACCCCTCTAGCAAGAACATCCCGACTCACCGCCGCACCCGGGGCAGAACCAGTTTCCCATGCGAAAAGATGACGTTCTCGCCCTCAAACCGTTCCGGAAGCCTATCCCCACCTTCATGACGCATCGGAGGAATGGTGCTAGGGGTGTTGACGGAACCGATCTCAAGCTCGAGCCTCTGGTTCGGGTCAAACAGAAATGCCGCCGGGTACAGAGGCACGAGGACCGAGTAAACCTTCCCTTGCGTAACCTCAGAGCGTGCCACGGGTCTCTGGGCAACTACCTTTTCCTTCAGGAAGTCTTTGGCAACTTCATCCCGGTGTGAGAGACGGAAGTATCCTCGCGCGAAGGTGTCCATCGGCTCGCCGTGGTTTCCACGAAGCACGATCACATTCCCGTCGGCGTCCACAGCCCGGAGGTAAACGAAGAGATCGAGATCCTTGGCCTGTGTAGACACTTCGAGCTCGAGGTAAGGGGATCCCAAAAGCTCAAAGGATTCCGAAAATGGGGTTTCCAAGGAGAATTTGAGAGACTCTTTGAATCCAGCATAGGTAAAGGACTCTTTGCTCCCGGGTGGTAGGGCCAAGGACAACTTCGTCTCTGGGGTGAGGTAGAAACTGACATCCTCGGCGTCGGCCGGCGGGAAAGACACCTCATTCTCGCGGTAGATAGTCTCCGTACCGTGGTGCTGTAGCAAGCGAATGCGAGGGACATCGAGCATGCCATTGGCCTTCTTGTCAAAGAGGAAGTGGTCCAGAAATTTCTTTTGCAGCGCAATGTGATCTGGCTCATAGAACGCGCCCAGATGGTTTCCGGTATGCATTTCTAACCATTTATATTGGGACGAGATGCCGTTGTAAGCGCGGATGTTGCCGGGTAAATGAAGCTCAGGATCAGTCCAATTCCCCGCGGAGTAGAATGGTACTTCGATGTCCGACAGCTTGCGGACCTTCTCCAACACCGCCCACGCACCGTCTGTGGGGTATTCTGTCAGGGTGAGCAGCTTGGGATAGTCCACACGGTTAGCGGCCAACTGTTCTTCTGTGAGAGTACCGTCCTGCCTTCCACCCTGGTGGGGAACAACAATATTGTGATACCAGTGGGACTGAAAGTTGTTGCTGTAGATTCCACCTCTTCGGGCCGCTTGGTACATACTGCATGCGGACTCGTATGACATGACACAGGCCAGATGCGGGGGTCTCTGCATTGCAGCCCAGTAGCCAACCATGCCGAAGTAGCTGATGCCGGAGAAAGCTACTTTTCCTGTACACCAGGGTTGAACGGCAGCCCATTCGACGACATCATAGAGATCTGGCCAGCAAAGTCAGTCCTGATATCTTTCTTATTGCTTGGGCTGAAACACCTTGTCCCTCTGCATCTGCTTGGATCTTTTCAGAGCGCTCCAGACCAAAGGGGTCGAGTTTCCCTTGACTACCTCCAACGCCCCGCACATCAACCCGGAGCAGAGCATAGCCATATTCCCGACACTGCGCACAACAATTAGGAATTAGGAATCGATTGGATTCGTTGGAAGGGTTAATATTGCCCACGTACCCAGATAGTAGGCTCACATAGCTCAAACGCAGCATCTGGGCCCAGCGGCTTGATGTGCTTGTACATTTCCGCGTAAATCGGGGTCTTGGGGAGTCCGAATGTGGATGCATGAATGTCTTTACCATAGGGTCCCATGCTGCAGATCACGGGGACCTGTTCACCCTCCTTAGAGGCGGAGAAAGGTAGGAAGAGGTCCGCACACAATTCAACCCCATCCCGCATGGGGATATAAGTATGTTTTGTGCGAGTATAGCTTTCGATATCGGAGGTAGTGGTTTGATATTTCGAACGGATAGACGCCATCTTGTATGGGAAAGGCATCAAAACTGAGAGGTTTTCTTCAAGTGCAATAGGTTCTGAGGACTTGTGGAGTTAGACTAGAGATTCTAGGATGGTACTGATAGGTCTTTATAGGTATGCTACCATTTCATGCTGAATTAAGCCAAGCGTCGGATGCCACGGCTGATGGAGCGTGATCTGCTATGAGTATTGAGTGCAGTAACTACCGGTCGGGCCCACTCACCCGACGGGGTGAGAATCATGCTAAATTATGAGTATTTCCTAGGAATCCCAACGGGAATGAAGTCTCTTCAGGCCGTCCGACCAGGTGTGCCGGGGCGCTGGATCGGGTTACCGGTAGTATGCTCCACCATGCCAGGGACTTGGCAAACATAGAAGATTTACAAACGGCGGGGTGAGTGTCATGCCGGAGTATATGCTATCGACCTCAAGTTGTTCGTTGTTCTGCTGTTCCGGTTGCGTGTATCCGTATCCTTTAGGTTACGACAAGAGATGTCCGCTGTTTCCCCATAGTACACCGAATACTTGAGCAATTTATTGAGCTAAGGATTTCTTCAAGAAGAGATTGATCTCTGGCAGAAAAGAGGATAAATGTGTATACCGGTAGGCAGGTCTACTTCTCTCCACCCCCCGCACCACCCCACTCACCCCGCGAACCCCACTCCCACCGCAACCAGCCTCGCTGAAGGGGTCAGCGATAGGATTTGAGTAAGGTTATCCTAACTCCAATACATAATAATACATACGCATGCGTGGCAGTGAGATGGATGGCAGCGGGGTCACCGAAAGGCCTAGAGGTGATGAATTGCTACATATGTCATACTTTTGATTATCCGCTTCGCCCACAAATGGTGTCACGCAGAAGCTGCCGGTACCTACTAGGTAGTACCTCAACTCCAACACCAGCCTTGGAAAGATGTCTGCCAATGAGAATTTCCTCAAACAGATCGTGGCGATCCGGCGCAAGCCCGATATGGCCCGGAAGGAGTTTCTGAACCTTCATTTCCAAGTCCATGGGACGATCCCCGATGCACCGGAAGATCCTGATATCAAGCCACAATGAGTTCTCTGATTTCTTTGCTTTTCTCCAGCCGCTGGCTTCGTGAGAATAGACTGCGAAGAAGGGGGTGTATTATTTATCGGTGTACGAACTCCAAGATGCACTGCAGTGCGTGTCTGTGTAGAGGTAGGTAGATTCAGCAATGATTGCCGGCGATGCCCTACTGAGGCTGATGATTCTTTATATAAGAGCAGGCGGCATTGCGGAAGGGATCTTCGATGTTGTTGCTCCTGAGCAAGGAATGGTCAGTTCATTGAGATACTTTGAATATTTATCTGGAGTTCTAACATTCTATCGAAAGGTTCTCCACGTCAAAAGTCAACGATAGAGCGGAAGTGGAGCAATAAATAAGTCACCTGCCTCCGCTCAATGGACATGCAGTAGATGTCGAGAGACTTCGTACCAAGTCTTAGATAGCCTGGGAGGTTTTCTTCCAAGTGTGCAGTTTTGGTCTGGTCTAGCATGACTTAGCATCTAGGGGTTGAGAATTGTATATAAGAGTGTATATCGGGAAACCAAACTGAAAGGTCTGTATGTATCTAGTATGGAACCTGCTTGGTGGATGGCTACAGCCCACCGATGAGAACCATCACAGATCCGTAGTCTTTTGGGAAATCGTACATATAACATCTACAGGTCGCAAGCACCAGGTACCAGTATTGATCCTCAAGACGACTGTGTAATTCTTTCAAATGATCTTATCATTGCCAGCGTACCAGAGGGTGCTAGGTTTGGTCCTTAAGTTGCCACTTCCGAGCAAGAACGCTGCTCCACGTATGGCATTTGATTAGTCGTCACGGAACATCATTCCAAGTTACCAGCATGACCTGGGAGATACTAGAAGCCTGGCATACTAGCGCCGATACAAGAGTATGGTGCTATTATTGCTTCGAAGAAAGACCAAACCTTGTGACAGCACACACGCCGGGAGGTCAGTAGTTGGGTGGGTGACCACCAGCGAATTCCTTCTGTGAATGGTTTTTGTTTTATCGCTTCTGATTCCTTGGTTCCTTGAACTCCGCGTTATGCTCTATCCTCTCAAGCGTCCCCTTGTTGGCGTTATGTTTGAAAATTGGAAAGAGTGCATCGAGAGGGCGATAACCTCAAGTGACATGCGATAGCCCGATAGCCCGATGACCAGAGACTACTAGCATTGTCGCGTCTGCCTATCGTATCAATCCTATCAAGCCGTCCAAGCGATTACAGTGATCTGTTTGGTCATCGCAACAGCTCTGGATTCCAAACATCGTCGAATCCGAGGCCTACTCCCAGGAGTCCGGCTGACCACAACCCTTCAATAAATACACCGACGGTGTAGCAAATATCCAGTCACCCCTTCCTGCTAAGCTTCATGCCCACTGAGCACATTGTGGATTTAAAAATTCTCGTTGAGCCCCCGCGGCTCGCGCAGGAGGACTCTCAATGCTCCACATCAATGCTCCATAAGCTAAACTAGTGGTGCATGGTGAATGAACTCCTGCAAAATCCCTGGGACCATCACAATCTGAGCAGAAATTGTCTCGAAGCAGTGCAGCTGAAGCTCTTTGTGACTGCCTTATCTGAGTTAGGAACTGGGATTTGCGCACCTTGAGAACCCGGAAAACTGATGTTCTCGATTTTGACATTACTTGATGGCCTCTGTGAGCTCTCCAATATCACTAAAGCTCGGCGATGATATGGCTTGTTTGGTTTACTTAAGACTGACTTATAGGCTAAAGAAGATTCATTGCATCACTAGGGGCTAGTAGCGCAGAATCACCAGAATCAACACACATGAAAACAGTACCCACGGTTGTGGTGGTGCTGGTGCTCACTTTCTCGCAAACTGGTGATAGGTTGTCTTCCGTGCAAAACCAGATTGATTCTCAGAGAAACGAGAAAAACAAAATAAGTCCTCAGAGCGGAGCTCATGAAAGTACGCAACGCCCTTAGCCAGTGGCCTTGCATCGGATGGTGGAGGCAATGATCCAACAGGAATCGTCCGCACTAGGGAGTCGTGAGCTCTGTTGGCGAAAAGCAATGCACATAATCCTGGTATTCATTGCATGGTACCAAAGCATCTCCCTCTTAGCAGTGTGTTCTACATCCGATAGCACTATACGTCTCTCTTGCGCCATGAAAGCCACAAGCACACTAAGACGAAAGCCCATGGACGATCTTTGGAGTTGTGGGCACCTTGAGGCGCATCGGCGTCTAGGGTGACAAGAGTCACCGCTTAGCTGAGCTCACTCGGGCTGTTGTCTCTGAATTTATTGCCGACCAGAACCACTGAGTTCCACTTACGCTATTAATACATTCAAGAACCAGCGAGCCATAAGCTACCACGGCTAATGGCGATTGCACAACCCATAATGCTCAAGAACTCGATCTGATGTCCCAGGGTGAAGCTTCGCGCCGCGTGCTTCCGTTTATGAAGAGCCTTCTAGTTCCCTGTGGCTGCTTGGGACAAGTTTCTGACCACTCGGCGAATGTGGTAGCTTGGGCAAACATATCCACGTGTCGGTCAAGGGCCTCCGTGGTCCAGAAATCATTCGCCATGCGCGCTAGACCCTAACTCGTGTGCGAATCGCTGAAGATCAACCCAGTCTCATCAAAATTGGAACAGAGCAGAGTGAGTCTCTCCGTGATTGAAATCCCCCAGCTCTTGATTTCGTCGCGTCACGAAATGTCGACGAGATCATGCCATCCGATGAATTAACAGCGAGCGGTTTAAGATCACTATGAGTAACGGCAGTCGTTCGTATTGCTCCACGATTGGTTCGAGCGACGTAATCATTTCAATTTCTCGGTATCAGACTTTTACAATCGAACCGTGAACCCATAGGTCATAATCATGGACTTGAAAGGGCAAACAAACGGTAGGAATTACGGTCCGAATTGCCGATGAGCAAGTGCTGAGGAAAGTCTGAAAAGCTGCATCTCCTACCCTGAGCAAGTCAAAGGTCCATAACTCTGAAGGTCGAAAACGACGACGGATGGGCGAGGCTGTACTCCGTACTGTATGGCAGGATGTCTCAAGAAAGAAGGGATTGACATGCTGCAGGCTTGCCGTCCTTTTGTGAAAACTTCAATTTACCCCCATCGATTTCTCCAAGAGGAAAGAAAGTCCCGCGATAAAGAAAGAGATAATTTCGTCTCGGGGATCTGCAAATGATCGCAAAATTGCAAAGCTGCGTAGCCCGTGATGTCAGTTGCGCTTGATGCTGCCCTGGGAGCTTTGCCCAGTCGTTGCCACCCCAGTCTAGGGCTGACCGCATGACCAATGTTTCAAGACATACGCGTAGATATGCGGCGAATCCTAATGTGATTTCGACTTGAAACGATGACCCGATGTAGCATGTGCGGTATCTTTTGCAGTCGAGGCTTTCGACTCGTCCAATCTGTCCGACCTCGGTGGGATAAGCTAGACCGTCGGCAGTCTCACCCGCACTAGCTTCCATCAAAGAATTGAGTTGGGCCAAAATAGCACAGTTCATGACTAGGATGCAGGAAAGTGTCTCAATGAAGGATGAGATTGGCAGGAGAGGGGGTGATGTGCATAAAGTACGGAGTGCTCGGGAAGTTAAGCTAGTCCCCGCAACCATTGTTGATAAGGAGGAGGAGGACAGACTACCCAACTTAGTAGTCAGTACTCTACACCTAATTAACTAAAACTACTTTCCCAACAAACATCATCCAAGCTACAGTACCCAGACTACCTACTAGCAAGTACGGATAACTCGACCACATTGCTTCGATGAGTACTATCCAAAGCTGCTCCTGTATCTCGCCCGAAAAGGATAGAGACTACAGCATGAGAATCACCATGATGCCTGCAATTTATGCAGTCTCGAGACACCGGTCTTTGCATCCGCCCACTCAGCCTTATACTCGACCACAGCTCTCTTGATATATCAAAAAGGCCACGGCATCGCCTGCAGGTCTATGGCAAGCCACAACACAGCGCATCATCTGATTTGCGCGTCGGACAGGGATGAGGTTCTTAGTCTGCCTGATAGCGTCTAGCCCACCCATCTGCTAATGCGCGTATGCGCCCTCTTTCTCAGCTACTCGAGTAAGGCCCTGGTCACCATGTCTCCTAGTTTCAAATCTCCATCCACAAGCGGGGTTGACGGCAAGCGATGTCTCGAAACCCCAAGGTGCGGTGAAACGACGCCGTCTATATATCTTGAGCTCTCATCTCAAGATCTCCGTCGACTTTGCAGCCTTCCTCAACCCTCAATCAACATCTCCATCATGACGAGGCCTACTTCTCTTCCCGTCTCTTTCACGGTCCAGGGGGTCACGATTCCAGCCCTCGGGATGAGCACATTCCCCGGTGATGCGACCAGCGAGAAGGTCAAGGATGTCGTGTACAAGGGCCTGTTGTGCGGGTATCGCCACATTGACACAGCGGCCGCGTATTTAAACGAGCAGGAGGTGGGGGAAGCGATTGAAAAGAGTGAGCTTCCTCGAGAAGAGATCTTCGTGACTGCCAAGCTGTCAGTTCCCCTTCTCGTGGACACCGATCACGCTCTAATACGCATGAACTAGACCCCAAACGTGCCACGGTGCTAGCGATGTCGAGGGTGCTCTTGATCACACCTTGAAGGCGCTCAAGCTGGACTACGGTTAGTGTTTCACTGGCCTTGACAACTGTTCAAAAAGACTGACCGCTGCTGCTACTGCTATGTACAGTGGACCTTTACCTCATGCACTGTACGATGAGGCTCGCCATTTAATCAGCCAGGCAAATCATTGATCATCTGCTTCAGTTCCACATGCCCTGGTTAAAGGCCACAAGAATCTGCCCCGGCAAGAACCCAATGGAAAGGTGCACGCTGACTTTCACATCAGCTGAGCCGATGCTGACACGTCATATTTACCAGCCTATGGTTGATCACTTTTTATCAAAGCGATATCCTGCAACCTGGCGTGCCATGGAACGGCTTGTCGACAATGGCAAAGCGAAACTCATTGGTATGAGGATCATAAGTTAACTTGCCCTAACTACTTCTGACGTCGCAAGGGGTCTGCAATTTCAACATTCTCAAACTCAAGAGGTTGCTTCAAACGGCCCGAATCCGACCCGCTGTCAACCAGGTCGAACTCCATCCGTGAGTGATTCAGAGGGGAAAGAACGTACTCGATTCTCAGTTAATCACTCGACAGTTATCTTCCACAGATCGATCTGCGAGAGTTTTGCAAAATGGAGGGAATCCATATCATGGCTCATCAGCCGCTCGGGGGCAAGCCTTCGTTCCGTGATGGCCCGCATTGCCGTCATATGAGACCATTGACAGATACGGATGTAAGTCCTCGTGCTTCAAAATGCTGGAAGGTCGAATGACTCAACTCGAATAGATTTTCCAGCTGTCTAGAAAGAACTTTCGGGGCCGGGCTCAGCTCATCCTCTCCTGGATCGTGCAGCAGAACATATCCGTGGTCCCCAGGACCAGCCGAATCACACATCTAATAGATAACATGAACCTGAAGCGACTGACGAGCGACGAAATGCTTGGTATGGCGATGGTCAGTAGGATAGTGGGAGAATTCCGTTTTTCGGACCCTCGCCACGAACTTGGATTTGATATATTCGATGAAAACGAAGACCAGCCGGTGATGGAATGGTTCGACGAGCCTTTGATAAAAACCAATCCCAAGTTTTTGAGCGTCTAGCTCGGAGTCGAGTGTATAGCGTTGCATGCTACATGGCGTTTTGGCTCCTGGATAGCACGAATTATATGTTCTTGTAGTGGTTTCGGTTGTATAGCTGTATAGATCCCCGCCAAAGTTCTGCCTCAGGCACCCGAGGAACCCCGCCCACGGGAGAAAAAAAAGCTTATCGATTTAGTTATCGTCCCCGTCACCCGCAATTTCCCATCTTCCCTATTGACTCACTCTCGCAATTGAGCTTCCTCCCACCACCCATCCTACCCACCGTTACTTCCGTACACCTTCTCCAATTGGATCTTTGGGCATCAATACAACCGCCATGACGGAATCCTACACCACCACGGACCTCCAAGGTGTCCTGCCCCTCATCGCACGAGGCAAAGTCCGCGATCTATATGAGGTGGACTCGAAGACTCTCCTCTTCATCGCGACGGACCGAATCTCCGCCTACGATGTGATCATGCAGAATGTAAACACTTACAGCCCCTCTTTCCCCTCCTTCCTTTCCCCCTTCCTCCCTTCCTCAGCCAACCCCCGCAACTCTACCAGCCACTAATCCAATGACCAAAAAAAAACAGGGCATCCCCAACAAAGGCATCCTCCTGACCCTCTGCACGCGCAAATGGTTCGAGATCCTGACGACGGCCCTCCCGACGCTGCGCACGCACTTCCTGACGCTGGACCTGCCGCCGCAGATCCCGGCGGCGCTGCGGCCCGTCCTGCAGAACCGGAGCATGCAGGTGCGCAAGCTGCGCATCCTGCCCATCGAGGCGATCGTGCGCGGCTACATCACCGGCTCCGCCTGGAAGGAGTACCAGACACACGGCACGGTGCACGGGATCGCCGTCGCTGCCGGCTTGCGCGAGAGCGAGGCCTTCCCCGGCGGGCCCATCTACACCCCCAGCACCAAGGCGGAGCTGGGCGAGCATGATGAGAATATTCATCCGGATAAGGGTATGTCTTTCCCTCCCCCACCCTTTTTCACTATCGGATGAAAGGAGGGGGGAAAATGGGGGTGGTGTTTTTCTTTGTTTTTTGGGACGGAATGCTGACGTGGACACAGCCGTCGAGATCGTGGGCGAACCGTACGCATCCACCATTGCGTCGCTGTCGGTGCAGCTGTACAAGATCGCGCACGAGTACGCGCTGACGCGGGGCGTGATCATCGCGGACACCAAGTTCGAGTTCGGTGTGGATGAGGAGACCGGCGAGGTGGTGCTGGCCGACGAGGTGCTCACGCCGGACTCGTCGCGGTTCTGGCCCAAGGACTCGTACGAGGTCGGCAGGGGCCAGGCCAGCTTCGACAAGCAGTTCTTACGCGATTGGTTGGTCCAAGAGGGATTGAAGGGCAAGGAGGGGGTTGCGATGAGCGAGGAGGTCGTGCAGAAGACCAGTGAGAAGTACCGCGAGGCGTGGGAGCGGATCACTGGTGGGGACAACTGATTCTTTCTCCTTCACGTAGTATTATAAAGTATATAGTCAACGCGAGCAGATACTGCTCGCTCATAAACTCCCAGAGAAGAAAAAAAGGGATATATAATCAAATTTTCCCAATGTACATTTCATAGTGGTGGTATCAATCTATCATTTTTTAAAGGGGGGTTCAATTCCATTCATCACGCAGTCCCTTCAGTCCCTTACCCTTATTCTGGCCTTTAGAGGCCGGAGCAGGAGCCGCGGGAGTACTACCTGTAGCAGCTTGATCCTCACTCGGCGCCGACTCCGACCCCGACGACGACGGTTCGTTATCACCAATCCAGTTCGTGCGCACGCCCTCATCGACCTCCAACGCATCCGCCCCACAGATGCGCCTCTCCTCCTCGATCTCCGCCTCACTCATCCCATTCGTCGCCCAGATCTTATGAATCCGCAGATCATAGGGGCCCTCCACACGATCCGTCAACCCGATCCCAATACTCTTCACGCGCTGCCGCAGGATCGACGTCTGCGGCTCGACCACCAGCCCGAAATTCGTGCGCACGAACGCGTTGAACGGCAGGAGGATCGTCTCCCACCCTGTCGCGTCCGCCGCCGCCCCGGACGTCGTCACACTGTTCGATGCCGAAATGATCGTCGATTCCGGCGGCACGTCCGACAGCGCGGCCGGGATGATGCCCTGCGGGTAGAGCTTGTCGGCAAGCTCGGGCGATTCTTCGGTGGCGGTGGTGAAAGGCGAGAAGGGGTCTCGGTCTCGGTCCGACTGCTGCTGGTGCTGCACGCGGTGGTGGCGGGTGTACAGGCGGTGCTGGTGGATATCGGTCTCGATGATCGAGTCGGTCTGGATGTTGACCGTGTAGCGACGGCCGTCGGATTTCACGCGCAGCGCGAGGTAGGCGTACGGGTCGACATCCCAGAAGAGTCGGCCGAAGAGCCAGAAGCCGCGGTCTTGGTTGCGGAAGGCGGCGTAGCCTGTTTATTGTGGGACGGGGTAGTCAGTTTTCTGGGTACCCAAACATTTTATGGTGTGAAGGAGGAAAAGGAAACCGCGGGTGTGTCTGGGAGGGTCGCCCGCGTGCAAAGCGGCTAATCGTACCGGTTCTCTCGACGCGCCAGTTCTGTGGCAACTTGGTAGAAATGCTTCCGTGGAAACGAGCGTGCGCCGGGCTGCTCGTTGCCGGATCGGCAGGGATATGATCGAGGCTGGCGGTGCTGAAGCCCCCGACGGCGCGGTCGGCCATTGTCTTGCAGCCGGCAACGGTGGAGGCATCTTCGAAGTCGAGGAGGACGTAGGGCTTAGTCGGAGTGTGGAGGGCTTCGGAGTTCCAAGCTGGAAGGCCGCTGGAATCAGTAACTATTCAATTGCCTCGCTGATAATGTGGAGATAATGACAGCGAAAACGCACCGATTCTGGAGACGCGGCTAAGCTCATCTATACTGCGTTTGAAAAAGCCCGAGGGCTTCGCGGCCAAACATCTCACCGTGGGGATCATTGTGATTGGGGAAGTAGATACAATCACGGTGGTTGAGGTTCAATGCAGACGCAGTGTCCCATCAAGAAATTGTAGCTGGGGCGAAGAAAGAATGTCGAGCTCGCCGCCGGCATGACGTCGGAGACGAACATCCGAGGTGATACGGTGCCTGAGGCGGGACGCTCACCGCTCCCTCGACCGCTTTGCCCGATGTATGGCTGTGGCTTGCTTCAGCTGGGAATGGCGATAAGTTAACCAGTAAAGTCGTCTAGAGTCGTTGCCAACAAGCTTCCATGGACCCGAATGCATCCGTGCCTCAGTGCAGGATATCACTACGCCTGTATCAGTTGCACTCTTAGAAAAACTAAGCTCGTCGCTGAGAAAGATTGGACTGCAGTGACGGACAATTGGATTATTCTATGCAGCAACCAGATGACGAAATGTTGTACTCGCTTATGCAACCCGCTCCTCGATGCCATCCTGCAAGAACCCGCAACAGACCATTATATGCTATAATTTGCCCAACCCCATCTAACGCCCAGCTTTATTCATAAGTATGTACAACCTGTTAATCTCTCCAGGAGGGTTGGCGAAACCAATGACAACGAGTCATGTGAAGAAGGGAAGAGCCCGAGTAGAAGCGACGAAAGTGCATGACAATAACGTAGCTGCAGATGCAGATGGGTATGTAAAGCAAGGGAAACAAAACACAAGAAATTGAGAGTCACATGTGGGATTGATGGTATTATGTACGTGAAAAGAGCATGCGTTAGGCTCTGATACGCCTGGCATCGAAGTATTTCAGACTCAATGCGGTGTCATTCATACCAACGATAGGAGCTGCATCTTCGAGAAGCTCCCATGGACGAACAGGGTGTGCACCAATGGCCCGCCCGCGGTACTGAACCCGAAGATGACTGGCAATGCAGTTGACACCTTCGCTAAGTCCAGCGGACAGCCCCGATGATACTGCAGTGGACGACTGTTGCGGCGTCTGTTGACCATAGACTAAGCTTCCCGATGGTGTTGGGGTAGAGCCGCCAGCGGCAGGAGACGGTAGAGACGTGGGTTGAGGAGGATTGGAGCTGTCCACGATGGGACCGAGAAGGTAAAGAAATCTAGCATCGTTCTGGAACTGAAGGAAGGGCGGACATTTTTCCTTGAGGAACCGTGCACACTGCTGCCGTGCCTCATCCGGGAATATGTCAATCAGGCAGGCAGCAACATCAAGTGCATGGGTTTGCAGCAGAATCCCAGGACACGGCCGGTAGCTCTCCACTGGTTTGGGTTGAGGGAAATAATCAGCTGATGGGTATAGACGAAGGACGCGGTTCGGAAGACGGGCCAAGGAGATGCAGAAGATGGAGATCAATAGGCGAGTCTGCTCTGGTAAGCCTTGGGATCTAGGCGCCAGTCCCGGGGTGTTGAACGATGCGCGGTGAATGACAACGATACGAAGCAAGGCAGAGAACCAGAAAGCCAGGCTTCTCTCGGAAGACGGGCTAGCTTGGTTTGTCGGACGTGCATCTCCGGTACCAGCATGATTTGCTTGCATTGCCACAAACTTCTGAAGCAGGAACTCCATCTTCTCAACAAGCACAGGCACAATGGTCGGTACCCCAGCTTCAGGAATGCAAGGGGCTAGCTTCTCGATCATGGTCAGGTAGAGCCTTGCAGTCTCGATCGATTGGAGACTATCCGAATTTTCCTCGAACATGGGGATAGAGAAGAAACCCCTCTCAGCCCGCTCCCGAATTTGTTGAATAGCATCATGGCTCATCAAGCTCACTAAGCCATACCAATGATCCTTGTGAGATTTAATGTCTGCCACTGCAGCTTTAAACATCACATCCACGATGCCGTTGTTGTCTTGGCCAGCAGCTTCTGCGTTAAACAAGAGCTGAAGCTTGAGTTGACAAAAGGGAAGAGAAAAATCGTTGTTCATGCGGATAACTTTCTCGGCTTCAAATGTGGTCTTATCGCTTGCATCCGAGTCGAATCCCAGAAGGCTGTCGAGTGCCTTCTGCAGTAAAGCTGTGGATGCTGTGTGTTGAGCAATAAACTTCTGCAAACAACCCTGAACGATGCGTTCCGGATTTTGGGTAAGGAGAAGCCGAAGCAGCATAGTTGCGCACTCTGTGAGGTCATCCCTTCTAGACCCGTATATGGCATCAGTGTTCTCGGATCCGATCAAGGGTATGGCATCACGGATTATGTCGAGGCTTTCTTCGGGATATTTAGCAAGGAACTCCTGCTGCGCGAGGCGAAACCGATAGGTCACCATATCTGCGAGACGACTTTGGTCGGGCTTTGGCGGAATAAGGAGCTCGAAGAGATCCAGCTTCAACCCTGCGACGCTAGGGATTACCGCAACGACCTTCTCCGACTGAAGGAGCTTCTTGACCAAGGTAACGAAGGCATGGATAGTAACACATCCGACACCGATAAGAGGGGGAAGGATCCGCGCCATCGGTAATCTGGTTTGAGACTTCAAAAGTCCACACACCCATCGGACTAACATAGCATCGAATCGCTTGGGATGGAAAGTTCGAAGGTAAGCCATATACCGACATATTTCATTCGCTGAAAGTTTCTTGTGGCCGTCCTGAAGGGCTTTGGTAAGCGAGGCGAAGGATGTGTCCATGGTGGACTCGTCCATCCCACCACCAGAGAGAAGCGTTTGATCGAGCTTCTCCTGAAATAAGGAATCGATCTGGCCGGTAGACACCGAGATATGGTCGGAGAGTGGAGAGGGAGCCGCCACAGCCGCTCTATTCTCAATCCGAGCAAGGTCCTGACGAAGCAGTGCAACGGTATTGAACTCGCTGGGCACTCGAAGACCCAGCTCTATCAACGAGAAAATCAGGTCCAGGCTGGGGGCACCAAACCTTTTCAGGCGGACATACGATTCAACAAGGCCCTTGAAGAGATCATGCACAGCACTGATCACACGGAATGTGTCAAAGTGATAGTTGACCGTGTCTGCAACCGAGGCGAGTACGATACTATTGTCGCAGGTAGTTGCCTGCTTGAGTACGTCCGCAAGCATTGACAGATCTCCAAAGCCTTCAAGGACCTCTCGAATAATGCAAAATTCGGCAGGAGTTAGTGCAGATATTCCCAAGTCGGACAATAACGGGATGTTGCTATATTTCCTGAAAGGGACGTGAGTCTAGGAACAAAAAGATGCGGAAGATTGGCAAGAGAACATACCTGCCTGGTTTGCGATAATGCCCAGCTACACCACGTCGGATCCAAAGACCAATCTCAGACCTGACAGCCCATGTCAAATCGGCAGGGAGGGACAAGTTAGTTTTCAGCGAACCACTCCTCTCAGATCCGAAAATGTTGGGGAGTCGCCCAGCAATTGACATTTGGAGCTTTGCAATAATGGAATTTTCTTCCTCAAGGGAGAATCCTGCACGATCAATCAACATGTTACGGAGATTACGAACATGTTCGGGTAGACGGTGTGATGGAAGTTGAATTAAAAGGCGGATTTCGCTCGATATAACCTACATATTGTCAGCTCAAAGTCCTCAATCATTATGCATATGAGTGTTTCTAACCTGATCTTCAGACGCAGGACTGTGTGCAAGTCCCTTGGCCATCAGCCATTGCAAGTACCTGCCAACGGAAAATGTTTGAGACCTAACGAGCTCTGAAAAGATATGATATATGTGTTCCATGTTGAGTCGGCTATTGCTGTCGAGGCCTGCAACGAAATTGAGTATGTGAATTTCAATGTCAAGTCCGGACATCTTCCACTTCCGTAGTATGCGGACGCTGGTATAGACACGGCGAGACCCATGCCGAAACGGGGTTGCTGCCCACTCGAGGAGTTTGGAGACTAGAATAGTCTTGTCATCAACAGCGTCCAGGCATGCGGAAGCTGTGGCAGAAACGTCATGTGCGGAGCGAAGTGAATCAAAAAGCGAGATGATCTTCTGCTGAGGTAGCCGAACTTTTGCTTCTTGTTGACTCTTCGAAAGCTGAACACGACTGTTGCGCTCCACCAAATTATGGAACATGGTCTGATCTGGCGTTTCCTTCAAGTTCAAGCACGAGGAGATCAAGTCCTTGTATGTCGTCCAGGAATTTGGAAGGATTAAAGATGATGTATGCTCCAAGACCAATCGTCTTATGCAGCGGGACAAACGATCGATCAGCGGCTGAAGGGTTTCGTGATGGCCTGAATTCTTGATCTTCCGAATGTGTCAGTCGAGCAACGATAAGAAAACATGGATCGCAATAATTACCTGTCGCAGTTTCTCAAGCAGGACCTCCGCCAACTTCCGACCACGTTTCCTGTAACGCATGATATTACTCCAATATATGCCAAGCATTAAGAGCCAAACAGGAATGGTGTTTAGCGAGGCGTTTTCCAACGACAACAAAAACCAGCTAAGATACTGATCATGGTCGAGCAAGCGTTCGAAAAAGAGTCGTGATGTAAGGCTGACTCTGTACAACAATTAGTAACGCGCGATTAAGCTTCAAGCAAGAAAGATTTGAACGATATTGACGTACGCATAAGTCATCTTCACCTTCCAATCCGCAGCACCACAAATACCAACGACTCCGTCCAGAAACTGTTGAACGGTAGCAGTCCAGTCACGAACCCATTTGGACTCCAAGCCTAGCGCGAGTGCGCCGCTTGTGCCCTTCCTTTTGAATGCACGAATTTCGTTGGCACCAACACATCTTGCTAGCCATATGGCACGAGGAACTGGGATCCATTTGCCTAAGCATTGATCGAGAAGCACTTTGCCCCGAACGCCATGAGGAATCGTCCGACTCAGCCTGCGCAGGGGCACAGATGGATTAGCAAGATCCCGCAGCCAAGCTTCGCGCTTGTTATCCGTCAGAGTCACCCGAGGGGGTGGCTTGAAGCTCGACGGAGCCGTGACCATATTGTGGCTTTGTCTCTTCTCAAGGGCAGCAGCAAAGACGGAAGAAAGCATCTGCAGACCTGATCGGTGCTTCAACTGCGCATAAAGCGACGGCCGTGCAGTGTTGGACTCATTCTGGGACACCTGCGTGCGGTCATAGTGTCCTTGCTTCGCCGTGTGCTCATTAAGAACATCTTCCGGGTGATTGCCTGTCCATGGGGAGAAGTCCGCAACCTCTGTAACGTTCGGTCAGAATACCGTCTTTGTATAAAAGCTGGGTGAGATAACTTACTCTCTCCCTTGATTTTGGGTGCAATGGTAGGCACCTCAATGCGATACGGTGTGGTTTTGACTTCCTTGACCGGTGCAATTTCAGCAATCTTTGGGGCATCATTTGCCGGCATCTGCTGAGGAGTATACTTCCAAGGGAGGAGAGGTAAAGGAGGCGGAGATGAAGAGGTCTTTCCATGTGCGGTAGCATCGTCATCTTTAACCTCGACAGCTCCAGTCGTCTCCGACAGCAGAGCTTGGAACGACCATGCCGGCCGCCCTCGCCAAGTCAATGATTGTGGTTTGGCAGTCGCGGTCCCAGGAGTGGTTCTCGCTTCACCACCACTCACCAGTGCCGGACTCCCTGTTGCCGCAAAGGCTCCTGATGTCACATCCAATTTCAGCCGCTTGGCTGGCGGCTCACTCTCTTGCGCATCTGCGGAAATGGTTGTGAGGTCGATAACTGCCGGCTGTCGGGGGAGCAATGACGGTACGGGCATTGGCGGCTTCTCCGACTGAGGCTCGGACTGACTGAGCGCTTGGAAGGCCTCAACGCGTCCTAGGCCGTTATTGGGAGCGCGCATCGAGCGACTCCACGGCTGGACGCCGGCAGAAGGATGGGGTATCATCTTAGCGTCATGGTGTATCTCAGCGTCGGATTTCTGGTCATTGGAGTAGCGCGGTGGGTGAAGACGGGTTGAACGCTCGCCTTAGGCTCAGATAGATTCGTGGTTTTCAGTTGTCCCACGAGTCCGAGGGGAAGTTCGGAAGACGTGACAATAAATTTCACATTCGGGCTTCCAATCTAAGACTCCCTAAGGGTGTGGAGTTGAGTGGACGATCCGAGACCGAGCGGCTATACTGATCACGGTAACCGTCGGGGACCGGGGGTAAAGGTGAGAGATGAGTACTGTACTTTGGGGGGGCGAGAGGCGGAAGGCTGCAGGTGGATCTGTCCGCTAGGGGACAATAGCAACTGAACAAAAGTCTGGGGGATTGTGGGAGTAAAGGGGGAACAAAGAAGAAAAAGGTCAGAGGGAGGGGAATTGAGAAATCAAGAAACTCGAATCAGAATGGAAATGCTAAAGGATAAGGTAAAAGGGTAATGAATGCTAACTTAATGCTATTATTGGGGGGGGGGAGGCGACCGAACAGGAAAAGAGCCGAGTACGGCGACCGAGAGAGTTGGCTTGATCTCCAGATAGATAACGTAAGGAGGGACCAACTGGCATCAGCTTATGGTGGAGAAACAGACTGAACATGTAATCTTACCGGATCGACACCCGTCGACCACGGAGATTGATGGGAAGAATGGGGAAATGGGGCAGTGATACCGCGATTTTACCGGCCTTGACTTCGGACGAGTGACAAACCAACTCTTCCCCTGCACGCGTACGGCAATTACACGGAGTACATTGTACAGTACAGTAAGTACAGTCGGTTATCTGCCTCCAACTTATCCTCCCTCTCTCTCTCTCTATCTCCGGGATTAGATGGCTGAGGGATCCATTACTTTGTCCATTTGCTCTTCTTACGTATCTACGGGGTATCTGAACTTCGGAACTCAATCCAGTCCATGATCCATGACAAACGAGCGATTCAATGCATCCAACATTTGCCTCACAAAGTCTCATTCATCATCCATCCCGTTCACGACTCGGATATCCTCTCCTATTCTAGACGATTAATGACCGGACAGCGATGGATCTGGCTCATCGAATAGCCCCCGTGGGATTCCAAGCCCCATTTTTAACAAAGGGTTCTCTTGGCATCATTTGATGGGATGACCACTGCACTCTGCACATCCACGCGATTAGCTGATGATATCGCGGCATATGACCCCATTCTTTAATCAACGGGATCACAAGCAAGATACACAGGCAGTTGAATGCTCAGTACACAGTACCTACTTCAGGAGGGTTCAACCACAAGGAGCCTGGCACAAACGACTTTCTCCAACGGGCTAGCCTAATCAGCTTCCGCAGATCTTCCCCCCTGGCGTGCGCTAATCCCTGCGCCCGTACGGAGAGTACTTTGTCTTCGCAGTATCCGAAGCACTGAACCTGCTGCCATCGGCACAGCAGGTACGCTACATACGGAGTAAGCTGGGTGATACGTACGGAGTACATATGAGCCCACATGGGGTGGGGAAGAGCTGCCAAAGGAGGAGGAAAGAAGCACTCATCATAGTCTGATGCACCACAGACTCCGTACCACGTACCTACTACCTACTGCCTTACTGCCAGACTACGTAGGCAGTCAAACAGACAGTGCATATTGGTCTAGGATGATTCTGAACTGGGGATGAAATCTTTTCCTCGGGTTGTCCTACTTCCGAACATACGGTGAGCGCATCTGGGATCTTCAGATGTGCCAGTGAACCATCTAGCCTAGTCTATCACGTAGTGTGCCTGTGCCCTGACCGGCTGAAACCGACCCTACGCCCAGAACCTATAATGGCAAATGCCCGGTTACCTACGATAATCATTATTCTGTGTCTCCTGGACTCTTATCGAATGAAAGCTGAACTTCTAAGTATTCTGCAACTCCCCTTTTTTGAACTACTCAGAGATGAATCCACCTCACTCCATTTATTGTGGGCCACCGATTTCTCCAATTCAGCCATCGGGCTCTGTGACCCATTTCCCGGGACCGATTGCCGCCCGAGGGGTTTCGAAACAGTCAAGAGTCAAGACTCAAGAGAACCTTTCTGGGAACGGGGTGTTGGCGTCTTGCCCCTCTCAAGTGGCATGATATTATGTGGTATGATGGATGCACCATTTCATCTGGTCATCCTTCTCCGCACGTTATCCCAATTCCATGGCTAACTAGCCACCATAGTATATTCTGTCGATCTTCCTTCCTTCCACTAACTAACCGGTATGGCCTAATTCTCACGTGGCCCGTTCTCTCTCTTCAGTAAAATGTACGTAGTAGTACCCATTTATCCCCAGATCTCATCTTTAGCTGAGCAGCACACAACATCACGCACCATCCTTGTAATGATCGAGAACCGAACCAGAGGCCCAAGTGTCCTTTTGGTCGCCGGAGGGTGTAATTTATTGCCCGAGATTTTGCCAAAGCACAAACCGGGATCCTCACACCACCAAGAACCCATTCATTCTCTGACAGAACAATCGCCATCTCGGCGGCCTGCAGGATGCAGTCCTACGCAGTCGGATCAGATTTGAGTCTCGACAAGCGCCTCCGGAAATATCATTGTCACACAAGTACATAGTACAGTCCCAATCCGAATGAACCCCCAAAAAGGCGCATTTCAATGCTTTGGCCACACTTGCGGATCAGCTCCACGTCCGTGACTAAGCTTCGTATCTGTCATTTGAAAAAAGATGTACGATAGCATAGGTATGCTTCTTATTCCGCGATAGATAAGTCGGTCTCAGGTAGTACAAGACATCAAACAAGAGGACCGTGCATTTACATCCTGCGTGACGACCAGTCAAGGCTCAAGGACCAGAAGACAGCATTTGAGTGGCTTTACATTTGGGCCTTTGTCGATCTTCCGCCATTGACTGTGCTTGCGCAATTCCCCGAGAGTCAAACCAAACTTCTCGTGATCACATAATACCTGGACGTGTCTTGGATGGTTGATGCCATTGGAGCAGCTACAATCCCATTAAGGGGCCAGATCGGATATGCAACACAGGGCCGGTGAGTTTCAATGGCCACTCCAAACGAGCAAGAAGACCAAAGGTTGCCTTCTCTCGGAGGTGAGCGGTCGCGTTCCGATAGAGCGGGTGTTCTCGTTTGTAGACTCTTTGCGCGAGAACTTATGATCAACATGATAACCCTGATAATTTGTAGATCGAATAGATATTTTGGTCTTCTGATGCTCGGCTAAAGTAAGAGTGCCTGACACCCGGTGTTATCCTTGAAGGAGGATTACGCAGAGTAGAGGTCTGATAGGGAGATAAAGCCGGGGAGATATGGTCATGGTGGCAGTATGGAAAGCACTGCACCAGCGAGCGGCCTTTCCGCTTTCGGGCTTGGCGGTGCTGGTCGCTTGGTTGGCCAGTTCAACTGCCTCTCACCCCGGATTTACGCCCCCAGGCTGAAACAGAACTGAGATAACAATCAGATTATCACAAAATGTCGACCAAGAAGGATATGCGCAGGTTGGATCTTGGTATGTTGACTGCTCCCAAGCCTTGAACCTCGCCGAAAGCGCACTCTTGCTGATGTTGACGATCTTAGCCATCCCCTACATTGATCCGCCGAAAGACAAGAATGAGGCCGACATGTCCAGTACGTAACGAGCGATAGAAAGACATATTACTCTCAGGCGCAATTGGGCTCGTATTGATGTTTGGAACAGGCGCGATGTCTAGCACCATGCCCATGGCTGCGGTAAGTTGCGGTCCAGCTCCGCGCTTCACAGCCAGAAGATACTAATCGGCTTGTCTTTAGATGTTTACCAGGAACAGGTGAGCAGGGAACTGTTCTTTGAGACATCAATTCGACCCGTGTAGCTAATAACTGGGGCTCAATCAGAATGATCGGATGGTATATTTCTAGCGACCTTTTGGAGTGGCTATCTTTTAACACATTCATAGGGTGTCTTTCGTCTTCTCTCTCCAGAGCTGGCTGGGTGAGACCCCAGACCAGAAGCGAAACGCTTCTACCCCGGCTTATATGTCTGTATTGATGTCCTGTTCGTGCACCCCAGCTTCCAAGACAATAGAGTATGGATGACTGACTAACGACGCGCGTTCCTAGTGATGGCTTTGGTCGTGGTATGTGTTGTTCTGCGTTGCAGCAGCAGTGCATGGTCCTTTACCTCGTTACTGATCGATATCATGCAGACCTACTTCCCCATCTTCCTGCCTCCTCAGACCGCGCGTGGTGCTGCTGCTCCCTCTCCTTCTCCTTCCCCATGAGGAAAGCCTGTTCAAACATACCCTTGCGAAAGTCTTTTGATACACAATTGATTCATGGCGTTTGCGAATTTGCAACCGAAGTCATAAAGCATATCCGACCATTGCTGACTGGGCAGTGGAAAACTCAAGGGGGTTGGTGTTGCGGCTTCATAGCCAGGGAGCTCTGCTCGCTTGTACAGGGGAATTCAACGGTTCTGTACGAATACTATAATACCAGAAATACCATAATGTCATCTCTGCTAGCGCTCGCTATCGCCACGCATGGGGTAGTACAAGGGACAGTGGCAACTTGAAATGGTTGCAGAGTGCGCGCATGCATTGAAGCTGAAAAGACCGAGCAAAAGAGACTAATGCGAAGGCAAACAAGGACAAAAGGCTGAGGAACAGCTTCAAAGTGTAATTAACTTGGCGGGCAAATGTGTACGTATAGCCAGCCTTCTGAGAATCTGACAGCCTGGAATTAAAGCCCAGTACAGACTGGCTGGCTGGAACACAGCCAGTGCGTAAGGGCTACGTCGGCAGCGTCACGAAAGTATTGGTGGTGAGTGGAGAGACGCAGCCGGGTGCAATGCGCCGAAAAAGGTTGCCACCAAACATGAACTTTCACTTCAAACCAATTAAACATTGAAGAGCCAAACGCCTCTTTCAAGCCTTCTTTGACAGGCGGGCGATAGCCCACCGGATGCCTGATGATGGATGATGGATGATAAATGATTAGTATTATCTGTGTTTGTTCCAGAAATTGAGCCAGAGTCAGACTGCCCGGCTGGGCTTAGTCAGGACCACACCGCCTTCCCCCACAAGGGCGCTAAATGCAAGCCGCGCCCCTCAAAAGGCTCTTCTGTTCTTCTCTTTGCTTCCTTCCCGACCTTCCCACCCTACACTCCATCTAAAAGAACCTCACTCAGTCTCCACGACTCGCAATCGCTCCCCCGCTTTAACAGAGATATTTATTCTCGCCCCTCCGCTCACTTTACCTATACCGCTTTTAAGGGCCGTTTACGACGAAAGGCCGAGTTTATGTCCATCGAAAACCTTAAGACCTTCGGTAAGTCGCTCGCCACCTCCCCCTCCTCTGTGGGCAACGTCAACGTTCATTGCGAAAACACCCCTTCGCATGCTGCCTAGCCTGCTGTGCAACGGTTTATTCTTTTCAAGGATAGAGTGAATGTCACTCGGTGGCGCAGTACGGCCATTCGGCTGGTATTCTGGAAGGTGGTCGGTTTCGCATCACTTTTTGGCGGGGTAATGCTAGGTCATAAGCCTGAGGCTGACACGTGCTCCTTTTCCACAGACCCCTTCGCCGAAGCTGACGAAGACACCGGCGAGACCAAGCAGTCTCAAAACTACATCCATATACGGATTCAACGTACGTCATAATAAATCTATCTTCCGTTTTCCACCCATGCTGTCGCCGTCTCACTGCCCACTGCTGATTGGCTGTGGTGACCTCTCGTCCATGTCGTCCAACACGAAACCAGAGGCTAACAACGATCCGCAGAGCGCAATGGTCGTAAGACCTTGACTACGGTCCAGGGTCTTCCGAAGAAGTTTGACCAGAAGAAGATCTTGAAGGTGATCAAGAAGAAGTTCGGTACGTCTCAACTGGGCCCGCCACGCCTCGACATACTAGGCATCAAACTAATAATCCATTCAGCCTGCAATGGCACTATCGTCAACGACACCGAGATGGGCGAGGTGATTCAGCTCCAGGGTGATCAGCGTAAAGATGTTCAGGAATTCTTGACCGACAAGAAGGAAGGTCTCGAGCTGGATGCCAAGACCATCAAGGTCCACGGTTTCTAAGCACCCCGTCGTCACGTCCCCGTTCCGGTCCCCTTATTTTCTTTTTTTCCGGTCCACGTTACTACTCAGCAGTGGTGGAAGGCTTTAAGAGCAACATCGTTTCTGTGTCTGTCGCTTCTCTCCAGTCATTGCAGTTGCACCACGGCGTTACTGCAAGGTAGGATTGTGAGATGATCGGCTCGTCAAACTGTTGCCTTTGAATACCTTTGCGTCGCTCTTTGCTCGGTACACAGGACCTGAAGCTTTGGTCGAAAAAAGAATACTGTCAAGTTGAACTCCCCTCCTCTCCTCCGGCGCACTTTCGTTAGGCGCTTGCACCGAGGAGGGGGGCAGCAGTGGGTTTGATATTGTTTTATGTCCCGACTCAACTGCGATACCTGGAATGGGATAATGACGGAACGAGGCGTTGGTAGATACCCTTATCTGCATAGATATTTTTCTTAGCTTCTTGTTTTCTTCTGAAAGGACGGTTGAAGGTCTGTTATGTTTGAAGAGGGTTGTGTCTGAAAGTGGAGATTGAGGAACAATCGTTATTCTTGATCTCTCTCATTTCCTGTGATTCGATCGTCTTTATTTCTGCACATGCCGACCTAGACTGTCACTTCCGTATTATTGTCCAAGAATGGAATATTTGTCACGGCTACAACGCATTCCCGAATGACGTAGACTACCGATACTGGGCTTATCTTGATCAACTTGGATGCACAACTAGCTAAAAATTTATGGCAAGGCATCTTGAACACTAGAATCCAGCAATAGGGGTAAATTGGAGGTAGTAGCTAGCTATGGGAGCAGTTGACTTTAGGAAACCACGGAATGGACATGGCCCGTACGAAGTCATTATCTATCTTGGTTGATCTTACAGTCGGTCAGTCTTTACAGTTCGCCCGGACGATACGCCCGACTGTCCGCAACCCGCATGCGCAGGAAAATCTGAACCGCCCAGTCCCAGAGTTTCCGGGTGATGACGAAGACGGGCACCTCGGGTTCGTTCTCGCGGGTGAGGTGCAACTGTAGGAGCAAGGAGGACATGCTCACGAAGCTGGCGACCGCGACGACGAGCAGCGCCGCCGCCGTTTCACGCTTGATCGTGGCATGGTTTTGCGTGGCGTGGTAGAGGAAGGTGAGGGTCTGTTGTAAGGTACGATAGCAAGTTTTAGTGTGACTGAAAAAGATCCCGGGGATAAATAATGGGGGGGTTAACTTACCGTCGTGATGGAGATCCAGGCAGGGAGAAGCAGACGGGGGTCATAAGAAGCCCCCGAAAGATAAAGGACCCAAGAAGTTATATAAGCAATCAACCCGTTCGTAGTGAGGAGACGAATAACAACAGCTGGCGGGGTATAGTTCAAAAGCCTGAAAGGTAGAAACTGGAGTCAGTTCCTACGAACCTTTCGCCGAAGTTGTTGCCATTAATCCCAAAAGTGGCGGAGCAAGAACACATACCATCGAGACATCATACAATCAGCAAAAAAGTAAGAAAGATATGCGGATGCACAGCACTGTGAGAGAGTTAAACCAAGACACTTTGCTTCTCTTGAGATGAATCAAAAGAGAGAATTTAAGACAAGCGATTTGTGCACATGTACATACCCACATAATCGCCAAAGCCACTTCGGTGACTCGGAATCGTCGCTCAACATCCCAGTCTTGCCCGACACTCCCAACTATCGCCGCCGCCCACCCCTCCCCTCCCATTCCGGGTTGGATGTGCAGCAGCTCGGCCAAGAATGTGAACGCACATCGCAGACCCCACCATGCGGCCGGGACGGTGCTCAGCGCGCGGCAGATCACCAGAGGCAGATACCATTTGCGATCCACGCCTAGGATGACAGCCACGCGGGGGTGAAGGGCCGACGAGGGGACCGAGTGGCCGTCGCTGTCGCTGCCATCCTCGCCGCCGCCGCCGCCAATGCTGCTAGGGGGAGGAGGGGCCGGAGGGGAGGAGGGCGGGACGACGGCTGCGGGGGCCCCGTCTTTGTCGCGGGAATCCAGCTTTGAGAGAATGGACGTCACGGAGTTATAGAAGGTGGTAGATTGGAGGAGCGATTCGTCGGAGGGATCGGGCAAAGGTATCAGGTCAGACGCAACTGGTGACCGGAATTGTTGAATAGGGATGGGCGCAGATGCAGCATCACGACGACGAGGAGGAGCCAGCCTTGAAATCACGGCATATGCGGCCGTTGCGCAACAGAAGATGGACGTCAAGAAGATAAGAATGGAGATTTATGGCGTCCCAAGTCGTAGATGGTTGAAATGTTGTGGAGAAGAACCCCCCTGGACCAGAGCTTTTCCTTGTTGTTTACGGTATTAACTCGTCGGAGACGATCGTGTTTGAATCTCTGGGGAACTGACGAGCCCGAAGATCAAAGACCAGCTGATCCCACCGGACAAGAGAATTCTAGGCAGGAACCGACGTCTTTCCAGTTGGACAAGGGCACACACGATCCAAATCGAAGGCTTGAAGCCAAATCAGCCAAAAGCCAAAGCAAAAGCCCGCGGCGGTGGCGGGCACGTGACCTTTCCGGAACTTTGGCGGGTTTCGATTTTCCCCCATTCGGCTCTCTTTTGCGATCTGACTTCAATTCGTCCAATTCATCCACCCTTCCTCCCAAGTGTTGCAGAGAGAGAGGTACACTTCGCGTGTCCATTCCGCCCATCATGGCTTCATCGTTGTCCAAGGGGACCTTGTCCGCGGCCGTCAGAGCCAGCAGCACCTCTTTCGCTTCCTCCGGTGTCGCATTATGCCAAACTCGTTCCTTTTCGCAGTCCATCCAGCGCCCTGGCGGCGTGCGCCCGTCAGAGTCCGTTTCAATCAGGCCTCCTCCTCAGCCCAGTACGAGAACTAGAACCAGACAAATGGCGAGATCGGAGCTTCCGCAGGATATCGGACTCTTGCCCGGCACCTACATCCGTCCGTTGTGGAAGGATATGCCGTCCTTCATCCATCAGCGCCATGAACGCCTTCGGCTGGAATGGCTGTGGCTGAAGCACGCCGTCCAGAATTTCATTGGGTAGGTTCTGGGTCTTGTCAATCTGTATTCTGCTCTTGCTGGGCCAGGGAATTAACTCGATCATACAGAGTCATCGCCTACAGCCGATACTTCAACAAAGGACTACCCCTCGAATTGAAGGAGCGTCGTCAGATCGCCCAGGACTTTCACCGGCGCATGTTAACTGCTTTCGCAGCGTGAGTGCCCCATGTTTACCACGGCCTCTTCACTTCCCTCAACAATATAGACAACAACCCCAACTCAATACTTACTCCATGCCTTGTTCTGCAGGGGCGACACTGCCACCATCAACAAGATCTGCTGCACCGGTCTAGCCAAGGAGCTCAACTCACGCATCGCAGCGCGCCCAAAGAATGAGAAGGTCACCTGGAGCCTGGACAACTATAACCGCGACGCCTCCACCTTCTGGACCGGTGCCCGCGTGGTGTCGGACCGTGCCACTCAGATTCCCGAGATTCCGAACTCGGGCGTGCGCCAGGTCGTCGTGCGCATCACCAGCAAGCAGACCGCCGGCAAGTACACGGCTCCCGCCAAGGGACAAACCGCCCAGGACTCCACCGCTGTGGCTACAAATGAAAAGCAGCGGGACTGCACAGAATACATCGTCATCCAGAAGCTCCGGTGGACGGGCGAGGACACCGGCTGGCGCGTGTGGGGTCACGCCACTCCGACCACAGTCGACGATCTGACCAGCCCCTTCTTCGCTCCTGGTCTGACCCTAGCCGAGCGCTTGGAGGCTCTGAAGGCGGGAATGGGTCGGTAAATTTGAACAAGCACTTGCTCAGTTGCCTCGTTCCTTCCCCTCCTCGTTGTGACCTGACCAAGACCTGCTCCGCAATAATGGCATGGCGTGAAAACATTTCATGAGCGGAAGGCATAGAAACGGGGACCCTCCTCTCCCAGCCGTCCTCACAGCCCAGAGATCAAGTTAGTCAGATGCGACCGTCGCCGTGGAATCCTGACTAAAACCTGGTTACGGATCTCTCCCTCCCTCGTCTTTCAAAATGAAGTTGTGTATCAATACGATAGTCACGAGCCACTACTCCCCGCAGAAGAAAAGTGTCTATTGCTGTCTCTTCCTTTTTTTTCTTGTCTTATTAGCCGGGCTCTCTCTCTCTCTCTTCCCCAATCTTTGCATCATATACTCTTATTCTTTGTGGTTCTTGGGCTGCTCTTTTGCTCGCCTATCAATCCTCTTGTCTTACCTAGAATCTTTTTGGTCACTCATGCAACGGGTCACTAACGCGCTGGATACACCTAATCAGTGTATTGGGCGATCTCCCACACTGTTCAATGTATCAAATAACTATATCCAATCTCAATGTCCTATACGACTTCACGTGTCGCAAGTAGACACCCTCTTAACACCTTCAAGGAGAGGACGCATCACGGAGTCAACAACGCGGGCCTTTACTCAGCCCATCGCTCATCTACGAGCAAGAAGAGATGGTAAACATATGAAGAGCGGCAAAGTCTCCACCCTCGGTGCCGGTATTAGGTGGGGTAGCGATGACATATATACACGTATAGAAATCTGAGACCCGATCGGGGTTTCCAAAGCAACTTGAACATAGAAGAGAACAACGAGAACAAAAGCAGCGACTTTGAAAAGACATGGGAATAGATTGCAGTGGTATCCGCGTGAGAAGAGGGAGGTGAAGCGAAAATCCAAGGATTAGCGGTTCTAGCGGGGAGGCAAGATGGTTTGGGGGAAAAAAAAGATTAGTCATGTCCGCGCAGCACCATCAGAAGATATCTAATCGTCGTCGAAGATTTGGAACGTGTTGACGAGGATCGTTTCGATGACACGAACTTGCCAGCCTGCATCGGCGATGTTGCCGCTGGAGCTGGCTCCCATGAGGGTTGGTCTGGGTTGGCGGGTGTCAGTTTATAGTATCAAGGGAGAAAGATGGGTGGGAAGGAAGAACGGGTGGTGAACGAACCCAAAGCAGATGGCGATATTGCCTGCATTCATACGGTTTTGCGTGTAGTGCTCTTGGACCTTGTTGAGATGCTGTCACATGTTAGGAGAAGTGTCTAGGGGGTTAAAAAAAGAATGGCTGCGGGCATACAAGAATCAGAGCTCGCAAGGTAGCATAGTGGGCATCAGGCAGGTTGTTCACGAGCGCATGCAGGGAGTCGCGGCGTGCAATGTCATCATCGAGACCTGGAGAACATGGGTCAGAATTGGTCTTGAGTTTTGTATTTTGGGAGGGACTCCTTACGGGCTGCATGAATGAAGTCGGTATAATAATGCGATGTAAACAATGGGTCAGGCAAATCTCTAAAGAACTGCTTCAACAACCCCGCGACACTATTGACGTCATGGTAGAAGTTTTCTGGGTTGGTGAAGTCCACTTGAGACGAGTCTGCCGTGTAGATGTTAGACCACATCCGTCGGATCGAGAGATTATAGAACTAACCATTGTCGAATAGTGCCTTCATTTGACTAATATGGGTGGCACTTCCAGATAGACGATAGATCCCCTCCATATCAAGCCCGAAAAGCTCAATTGCTTGGAAGCATTGGTAGACGATCATGGGCACCGCTGTCCCATCTCGTGTGTACAGATCCTCCAATGATACACCGAACACCGGCTTTAAAGGAGGTAAGTGTGGCTGGAAACCATTGCCGTGCGCATGGAGGGGAGTTTTAGCTGGCGGCGCAGGTGGTTGACCTGCAGCGTGATGCGGCTCCAGAGGACCAGAGGAGTTTGTGGGATAAGGTGGCTGTGGTTGGTATGGCGGTGATCTGAACGAGTCTGGATTTTGATGGTATGGCAATGTCTCAGTAGCTGGCGCCGGCGCCGGAGCGTTTGTGGGTGCGGGCGCGGGTGCGGGCGCTGGCGCTGACGTTTGGGTAGATGCTTGTGGAGTGGAGAGGGTCTGTGTGGAAAAGGAGGAAGGGAGGAAGGCCGATTGTCTTTTATGCTGCGTTGTGGGTGCAGAGACAGCTGCCACAGGCCCAGAGCCACCAAGAGTCTTGTGAATGTGTCAGCTTGAACTGGTTCAAAAGCTCAGGTAGATATGCTAACCGGATGCCGTTGATATCTGATCTGTTCTGATGTCACTGCAGCAGGATTGTTCTCGTGACTAAGAATGTATTCACGGAAATCCTTCTCGTTATCAATTTGCGACACAACTTCGTACAAGCTCTTTGGCGCCAAAGCAGGATTCGCCGTGCCATCCTTCAGGGGGCTGATTGACAATCCTTGTCCCAGCAGCAGCTTCTCGTTGAAAGTGGCTTCCGGACTGTCAGCACAAATAACATGCAAAAGGTGGGGGTGGGGGAAGCATATTGTTGCGCACCAAATTTCTGCAGCTGCAGCGCCAGGCCAGAGTCGCATTCCGAAATCAGCTTCTGGATGTTCAAGACGGCTGTAGGGCGGTGGGTTGAGACAAGTTCCTGTCGAGCCGTCTGCGCAGCTTGGACCTTGGCAGAGTAGTCCGAATCCGCATTCTGTACTTTGCGCGACAGCTCCTCCTCGTGCTGAGCCGAGGACTTGTGGCCCTTCAGACCGAACTTTCCGCCCTGTCTGTCGCCCGTCTTCACACGGTCCAACTGTTCAGCCAATGACACATATTTGGCCTTTGCCTTTTCAGCGGATGCTTCGGCCTCCAGCACCCTTTTCTCTGCACTCAAGCCAGTCTGCTTCCATTGCTTGCGGCCACGTTCAATATTTGTTGCTAGCTCATTGAGGTCGTCGGCCATCTGCTGCAACGAGACGGCGAATTGAAGTCCATGATCCGCCATGCGCTCATGAAAGCGATTGAGGTCATTGTAGCTGTTCCCATACGTGCCCTGGCGGTTTTCCGTGCGATGAGCCGCGTCGTGGAGCGAGCGGGACAGCTTTTTCAAGCCTTGCGCATGCTCTTCTTCGAGGCCGGATCGCTTTTTGAGGAAGGAAGAGAAATCCTGATGATCAGTGCAGGGCTAGTTAGCGCATTTGTGCGGTTTCACACGGTGGTGGTGTGGTCGAGGCGAACCTTGGCGGAGGCGACACTTTGCTTGAGCCGAGTCAGGAGAGTGGTGATACCAATCTATGTGACAGAAGGTATTGCGGTCAGCACAAGGAATAGACTTAAAACGACAGTTGTGGCTTCAAATCCCATACATCTGAATAAATGACTTTATCCATTCTAGCCTTCAATTCCTCCGTCATCGGGGGCGGACCCGAACGTAGGTCGTTAGCTGCGGAGTGGCCGACAGAGCCAGCACTGGATGGCGGCGCATCGGGGTCGAGCCCGGCGCTGTGTGGTCCAGAAACGTCTGCCATGAGATAGGATGCAGTGGGTGATTACAAATTGGGAAGATGAAGACGCATTGAGGGAGCAATGCAAATAAGATGTCTGTAGGTGTATATGTATGTATGAAGTTCGGAGGATGATTTGCGGAAGCCTAACTAATTATCAGGAGCAAGTCACACACAGCACTCAGGCATCATCATGACCCGATCGGGCAAGGCGGCGGGTGGGGGAGGCTGAGCCAGTGTGGCTTGCAAGTGGGCTGGGATCCCGGAAGGGGTTTAGTGCAGGTGGCCGGTGCTTTTCTCCTGCCAGGCACGTTCCTCCTTACAGTCAGTCCTGGACACGCTGAAACCCAACTTTTAGTGAGTAACTTGAGTTATGTATGGAGTAAAGTTATTCATAACTTTAAGTCTCTTGACTATGCTGACCTGCTGAAGCTCCGAGTTTGTTCCGAGCCTATCCCGATTCCACCCAGCGCACCGTACAGTTCTAGAAGGTTTCAACGGCACGGACGGCCTTAGTAAGGCTGTTGAATTTAGGATTTCTCAACATCGCAATTAGGGACGGAGTTAAAGAGACGGCGATGACAAATGCGGCCCATGTACCGAGGCAGATTGTAATCAATCTGAATGCTCTTGTCTAAGAATTGGGGTTCCTCAGTGGGTCGACAATGTGTATATAAGCTAGTTGTATCTTCTTGCCTGAAATACTGAACAATCAACTCAAAATCAAGACATCTCTCAGAATCACCAGTGTCAATATCAGTTCGGTACAGCTACCGGATCACCACTATAATGCCTTCCACCGAAGTGAATGTGACCGTCTTTGCCTATCCTCAACCCGACAAGATTGATGAGGTCAGTGCCCTTCCTCTCTCTAACTCTCTCTCATCTTTTTACGCGCCTTTGATCAAGTGGTGGGCCGCCAGCTGACAGACATAAGGTTGCAACCCTTTGGAGCGAGCTTTCAAGCCAAGTGCAGGCCAACGAGCCCGACACGCTGTTCTACTATGCCTTTGTCAATCAAGATCGAAATGCAATTGTGGTCGTAGAGAGGTAGCTCTTTTTTCTGTCCCATTGCCCCACTTGCTCCTGTGTGATAGGAACCTGGAACTAAGACTATCCTATTGCAGATACCGTAACCAAGAAGCCCTAGTGAAGCACAGCCAAACGCCCTACTATCAGGCATTCATGGCCAAGGCCGGGGGTTTGATGGCCAAGCCTCTTGAGATCCAGCGGGGTGGTGGTCCATTGCCCGAGTCAACCAAGGTTTCCCGGCTGTAGATGGAAGGGATGGGATGGACCCTAATCATGAGAATCTTTGTGCATGAAAGAAGTATATTGGTGGTTCTGAGCTGTATAGGTTAAGTTAATCAACATGACCTCACTCTGCACTCCACATCAATAATACCGAATCGGATGGTGGCTAGGTCTGGTATAGGCGAGCTAACGATGCGAGGGAAAATCTAGAGGTTGGTACATACTGTAGTCTACTTCTGGCAAGTACGAGTAACTATAAGCAGTAAGCAGTTTAAGGTACAGCTGAGGAACAGATTACCCCGTACCTACTCCGTAGTAGGTAAGGTATAGGTAGGTTCACATGTATGTAGACGCTTGCAGACAAGGAGCTTTAGCTACATAACGTCGTCGTCCTCTGTACTCCGTACTTTGAGTCGGCATTCAATCGGAACGCTAATCGAGCTATCCCCGTCATTGCAGCGTACATATCCAGAGCCGATGCTTAATGAACTAATATTAGACGGAAGGATGGCGGTCTGCGCCTGGTGCTGCAGGAGGACCGAACTAGGTGCTGATGTATAGTTAAGGACTTTGGTTGTTCGTTTCTTATTCATGGACCAGACATCGGGGGGTGTTCTCTTGGCTTGTGGTCCGTGAGCCATGTCGATATAACCAGTCATAGTGTCAAGGGTACTACTGCGTACGATGTATGGTCGGGTACAACAAAATGAAGATCAGGTATAGGAATAGCAACGCCGGCGGAAGGGTGTGTTTGACAGCTGGGAAGAGACAGAAAAGAACCGAAGATAGCTAGACAGACCCCTGAACCGGCAAAGGGTGCAAGCGCCGTCCCTTGGATCCCCACGGGACCATCCATTCAATTCCAGAGACTGCGCATTCTGCCGGAGGAAAAAATCATGGCTGTCGACAAGAGAAGAGGCTGATATTGGATACATGCTTATGATTGGTGTTGGCTTCCCAGCCATCGCGAGTATCTCGTCCAATTCCACCTTCATGATGATTCCAGTTGTAGGATGGATTGGATTAATCCCAACCAACTAATCTGACTAGTCAGTCGTCGCCTACCCATGACTGGCTGGCTGGCAGGCTGGTTGTTCTTCTTTCTTCTCTTATTCTCTCGCTCTATCTCGATTCTCGTGAGGGACAATTAGATCCAGTGCCAGAATCAAACATCAAGCACCAAACATCGAGCATCGAGCATCAAGCATCAAGCATCAAGCATCAAGCATCAAGCATCAGAGCATCAAAGCATCTATTGATCAATAGTCTCATTGTTCATATTGTTCAAGGAGTATTTAGTGTATTCATCCGTCTGGCGAAAGTTCCGCCTCAGTCCTGACGTGAGTACCTCTCCTCTCTCTCTTCCACTTACTTTCCCTTTAATCATAGTATCGTGCTATCTATCAGTTGCTGTTCTTGTTTTCCCCTCTTCCTTGAAGGTTCCTTTCCTACATTGTGTCTTCCTCCCCCCATTCCTATTATCCACTTCATCCACTAAACCAAATCCGAATTGATTGATCGATCAATCCCCCCTCCCCCCCCCTCCTCGTCTCTCCCCTCCTCAATCGACTCCCTCACTCTTACTTTGCACTTCTCACCCGCTGATTCACACCTCTCTTCATTTCAATCACCTCCTCTCCACCTCCCTCCCTTCCTCCACCTCCACCACCACACCTGTTTTGCAATCTTCTTTCCTAGTCGTTCTATTTTCATCCTTCCATTTGGATCTTTTCCTTTTTCTTTTGCTTGCCTACCATTATCCCTTTTACTTCACCTGCTTAATTTCCTGTCTCGCACCTTTGGCAGCGTATTTGTGTCTTGTGTGTTGTGTCGCCGTTATCTCCGTTGTGCATTGCGAATCCTCCCTGACCGGTTCGATTTGCCTTTCGGTCTTCAGCAGATACCCGCGCTACTTGGTTACACGCCCGCCCGTTAAGCCACGACGCAACCCACTCCCCCCGTTGACCCCTTTGAATCCTCGAGCTCCCGTGGAGTCGAACTCGTCCTTACTATCGATCTGTCGTGACCGTCGCAACCGTGTCTATCTTTTGTGTTCATATACCCTCTAGAATTATAAGCGAAGATGGCGACAGGACCTGCGACTCAATCCCTGAAGGTCAGCTCCTGCCAGCGACATCCACCATGTTACTCAACTGAGCTGCAGCTAATCATTGAGTGCTGGATTACAGTGTGTGGTAACAGGTGACGGTGCTGTTGGAAAAGTACGTGGTTTTTTCTCAGTTCCCATTACTGCTGGGTAACTTCTGCTGGTCATCCATTGCTAACGCAGCTGCCAGACATGTCTCCTGATTTCGTACACAACCAACGCCTTCCCCGGTGAATATATACCCACCGTGTCCGTGATCCCGCTCTTTTGGAGGCTCTCGTCTGATACGAATACCCTGTTAACCCGGCCCACAGATTCGACAACTATACTGCCAGTGTAATGGTAGATGGCAGACCGATCAGCTTAGGACTTTGGGATACTGCTGGACAGGAAGATTACGATCGTCTTCGCCCGTTGTCCTATCCGCAAACCGATGTATTCCTGATCTGTTTCTCCATTGTTAGCCCTCCCTCGTTTGATAACGTGAGAGCCAAGGTACTTTACCCCTGAGAGGCCATGCTCGCCTGCCCCAAGTCGCATGTCGAACAACTGGACTGATCCTCCTGCAGTGGTTCCCCGAAATCGAACATCATGCTCCCAACGTACCCATCATTCTCGTCGGTACCAAGCTCGATCTGAGAGACGATCGGGCCACTCTAGAAACTTTGCGCCAGAGGAAGATGGAGCCCGTCTCCTACGAACAGGCTCTGGCCGTGGCCAAGGAAATCCGAGCACACAAGTACCTGGAGTGCTCCGCTCTCACACAGCGTAACCTGAAAAGTGTATTCGACGAGGCCATTCGGTATGTTGTTGTTCGCAAACTGCCCCGCCCTAGCGTCTCGAGCTCTAACCAGTTGCTCTCAGTGCTGTCCTCAACCCCCGGCCTACGGCGAAACCGAAGAACAAGAAATGTGTCATTCTGTAGATCGTCTCCCCCTCACTGCATCTTCCGACCTATAATATAAATAACTAATCCGGCGTCTGGGTTTTGGCTGTAACGCCCCGCATTTTGCTGGTTTTGGCTGGTTGTCCCCTCTCCCGTTCCTTGTTTTGGTGCCATGATCCTGAAGTTTTATTTTCTCCATTCCATCCAGGTTCAGGATAACCTCACCCTCTGTGTCTTCTTTCCCTCCGTCCTAATGCAGTATAAAGATGTAACATGCCATTACAATACCACTCTACGAGCGTCTTTCCCGAGTTGACCCACAGCCTTCAGCGTCTTCCCTTTTCCTCACTGTCGAATATTGAAAGCCATAGGTGAGCGTACGAGTTTGGATTTGTTTGCAATGCGAGAGATAGTTTGATAGTCAAGCCAGAGCCGTGTCATATACAAAATTGGTCTCTTCAAGTCTATGATCTTGCTTGACACTTTCCAAGTATGCACATAAGAAACAGAGAACAGAAGGATATCTTTCAAGCGAGCACAAAAAACACAGGATTTCTTTTCAGGGATTGGCCCAGACTGATCAGCTTATGATCGCTATCCGGCGAGAGGTGGATCTTAAGCCATACGGTTTCTGCGACTGGGGTGGACGCCCGCAAAGGCATCTTCCCCGGTCTCCTCGGTATGGGCTCTGCGCTCCTTCTCCTTAGTGATCTCCTTGGCATTTCTCTGTCTCTCTTCGAAAAGCTTCTTGTTCTTTGCCTCGATCTTCGATTTCCGGTATTCCGATTTGCCGCCACCGCCGGCGCTGCGGTAAGTCAGCACTTCATCGCATCCTAACAGTGTCCAGTGTCTTGTGGGCACTTACGTCAACTCCACATTGATCCGCCTGGGCGGGTACTTCTTGTCATCAAACATAGAGTGGTGGTAAAGCTTAAGGCAGGTCTTCATGCGATCGTAATTGTCAAACTCGATGAAACCAAAGCCACGACACTTGGTCGGCTTGTCCTTTTCAGTTGCGACGCGGACGGATACCGGCGAAATCTTCTCGAAATGCGCGGTCAAGGATTCGCGGTTAGCGGAGTAGGGGAGGTTGCCTGTCACAAATGTATGAGCGCACGTCGCCAGCAGCCATCATTGTCTCAAGCATACCAACGAAGCAAATGAATCTGTTTCCCTTCTGGCTCGATTCCTCTCCCTGGGCGGACTCCTCCGCTGGGGCCTCAGCAGACGGGGTATCTGTTTGGACATTCGTGTCCTCCTTCTTAGCCTTCTTGGCCTTCTTGTCCTTCTTGTCCTTCTTCTCTTTCTTTTCCTTCTTCTTCTCCTCCGCCTGGGGTTCCTGGACATCCACATCCATAGCCTCGGGTGCTTCCTTTTCTACCTCGTTGTATTCGGCGGCCTCCGCATCGGCACTGGGCTTTTCTTTCTTTTCCTTCTTTTCCTTTTTCTCCTTCTTTTCCTTCTTCTCCTTCTTATCCTTCTTCTCTTTCTTGTCCTTCTTCTCTACAGCAGTCGCCTCTTCAATTTCGACTTCCTCAACGACATCCTTGGCTTTGCGCTTCTCCTTTTTCTCCTTCTTCTCGTCGCGCTTGGCCTTCTTGCCCTCGGGCTTCACAGCCTCCTCGGTGAGCTTGCGCTTCTTGTCGCTCATGTTGACTGATATAGAATGGGAAGACCTTGAACAAAAAAACAAATTCGGAGTGGACAAAGGTTTCAACCGGAATGGAACCGATGCCGAAGATAGCCAAAAATCTCGGAAATTTCCTTTTTCTGCCGGGCGGAGATAGATAGCGGCGAGATCAAGTGGAGCGGTTAGATGTGTGATGCCTGAGGTGTCCGGGTCGAATCATACTTCCTCCGCTTCGGTCACACTGAACTATGAGTAGTCAAAAGTGACCGGTTCCATTGCACATACATCGCTGCCTCTTGGATAAACTGCTTTGTCCTTCTTCTCAAACGCGAGACACAACACTGCTCCATCGATAAGGCCGAGTCCTATCATTTGCATGCCAATATTTGTCAACCAAGCTCTTTGTGTTCATTAACATGAATGTAGATCTTCTTTGATGCAATCGCTGCTTCCATCTGGTAATTTGGCCAATAACCCGTGAAATCGATCATGATTTTACTCACTCGGACCATTGTCCTTGCATTAACTAGGCCGGGCAGCAATCCCTAGCCGCTGTTGCTTCCCTCGAGGTTCAATCTCATCAATTCACAGCTTGAAGCTGCTACTAGGAGATGGAAGATTGGATGAGATCAAATCTCGGAGCTGGAACAATGTCTTCAAACCGACCTAAACCCCTAACCCCTTGAACAATGGTGCTATACTTCCGATGAGACTCCTGAGATAGGACTTCTATAATTGCGGAAACGATCAGCATATCAGCTTTAAGACATGCCATCGTCCTTGAAGTCGAAACTTGCCCGAAGACAGTGAGGGCCCTATTTACAGATGCCAAAACGAGCACGTCGAAGACCACACTTCAGTGTCTCTATTGGGTGCTCCATGAATGTTTTCAGCCCAGAAGTTATGGTGAAAGAAGCCATCCCAATGCTACACTCTTTCAGTCTCACTGTTCAAACAACATGGTCAGGAGTAACCATTGAAGCCTGTTGGTATAAACAAGAATGACAGGCGTTCTTCATATGCATTCCAGACCAGAGGAATCCAGAATTTCTTTGATGACCAAGGATATCATTGTCTTATTCCTTGTTCTCACCGACGTAGAATACCCTTTGTTGTTACAATGCATTTCTGTTTCGTTTTGGAGAAGACCCATATAAACTGTCCGTCAGCTCTAATCAACTGCATTTACAAGCTTCGCTTCGTCGCAAACACCACCTTCACTGTTTTCTTCTTTTTCCATTATAGTAATGTCTGATGTCACATCTTTGCCTCCGGAACTAATATGCATGATGGCTGATTATCTGAGTGCGAGGGACTTGCTCTCTCTCCGTGCTGTTTCGAAAAATATGAGGACGTTGACAACCAAGGCTCTGGAGCCCGTATGGAATCGTTCACTACGCGTTATTCGCACGGACTTTTCCAACCAGAGTCTTTCTCGGATTCATCGAATTGCGCAGTGCGACGAATTGAAAGACCACGTCAAAATAATGAGGATTGAGCCACCCTTCGGTTTTCTAACCCCCCTTCATAGAGTGACTATGTATGACCTGATCAAGGATCCTACCTCGGTTCCAAAGATCAAGACCCTCAAGGATGACCTTGTGCACTCACTCAAGAACTGCAGAAGCTTTGAACTCTGCCTCAGCTGGAAGGAAGGTAATCTCACGTACCTAGACAGCGACGACGTTCTTAACATCCTTTTTCACATTTTCGTCGAGGCTGAGCTCCCTGTGGAAAATCTGGCATTGTATACTCACCGGTCTACTGAGTTCCAGAGGCCCAAAAGAGCCCGCCCATACACCCGAATGCACAAGCAGCCAAACCTCGCCCGCGCCTGGACAGAGCTCGCTACCTTGCAGGTCACGCAGCCCTATTTCTTTCACCTCGCTAATTACCTCTACAGGATTCTGCCCCAGGTCATACAAACCGCGCCTCGGCTCGAGAGACTGATCATCATTGGCGATGCCATCAGCGGCCAGTCCAGAGATCTGGTCTCGCTGCTCAAGAACGTCAAACCTCTGGCGGAGATCAAACATCTTGAGATCCATCGTTCTGGTGTCGCTCTTGAGGACATTCAAGAGTGGCTGCAGTTGATCGGTGGTCAGTTACTGTCGCTGATCTTCTCTCGGTGTTCTATCATCACGTCCGCTTCATGGACTACGTTCCTCAGCTGCGTAAAGAGGACTTGTCCCCGCCTGGAGGCTGTTACCTTCGAAGAAATGACCGTTGGCATTGACTGCCTGACAGCACAGTATGAAGGTGAGGAGGTGGCCGACGCGCTGGATTATGTGATGCGGAAGTTTGAGGAGGCCAATTTGGTAGATTGATGATCTGCCTGTTGAGGTCATTGTCCATATATATATTCACACTATCTACCCATCTATATATACAAGTTCTTACTTGATCTGTCTCTCATATACTGATTGTAGAGTCGCAGTCAACCAGGACAGAATTTGCACGGTCGACAATGCAGCAGCTAGAATATAATATATATTATCCAGTGAAGAAGATATGCTTAGACCGTATGACAAACGCCAACACCTTCATATATGTACAATCGCTTTTTCTAGAATACCATAATTTTGATTCCCTTGACTTTTGCACTGTAACGATCCTTGAACTCAGGCCGCGTGAGCAGCTGCAGCAAGGGGAGATGCGTCTCCTTCATATCGAAGATGCCGCGCTGCTTCTGGTCAACGTAAGAGCCGTCGATAACAATGCGCTCCAGTTCACCAAGTTTGAGGGACCCTAGAATGAATTAGAGATGTACCGACTTGAGGAAAGCGCACATGATGAGGTCATACCTGAATCGATCAAGTCCGAGATGCGGGCTGGGGTACCGGCACCAATGCCCATGCTATCAGTGGAATTAGTCGGTCTGTGTGTTGTAGGATAGTAAGCCTGGAAGAGTCACATACCGTGCGCGATCCAAGAACTGCTTAGCTTCTTCCAGCTTAATGTGCTTAGCGAACAACTTGCCCACGATGGATTCCTTATTCTGGAATGAGCGGAGGGCCCGGACGACATCGGCGGCGCGGAGACCAGCACCGGCGATCACCAGCGTATGAGGGGTTCCCTTCTCCTCAGACGATTTAGCCAGGTGCGCACCCTTCTCGGGGCTGAAGGCCTTCAGGAAAGCGGGGAGGTTTTCAAGGTTGCGGGGAGATTCGAAGGACGAGGTATCGAGGAAAGCGGAGTCTTATAATGTTAGTATATGGGATGGCCCTCTACACTGTATAGGGCTGGGAAAGCCTCATACCAGGTACAGACAGATCACTCAGCTCAACAGCAGTGATCTCCTTGTTATGCCGGCGAACCTTCTGGGCGAAGTGATCGGCCAACAATCGACCGTCCATCTTTCCGATCGCTTCATCGATGCTGCCTTTGACCTCTGTTGCTTTGGTCTCTTGGGGCTCCTTGGGCTGCTTCGGCTTGTCCTTGTTGTCCTTGCCCTTGTTTCCACCCTTCTTCTTGTCGAACTTGCCCTTGTTGTTGTTATCCTTTCTCTTTTTGTTCTTCGGTCCATCCGACGCACTGTTGCCAGTCGACTTGGTCTGCTGCTCCGTCTTGGAGTTGGATTCCTCGGCCTGCCTCTTGCGCTTTTTGTCCACCTTGGCGGCCAGGCCGGAATGCTTTGCGTTTCCGTCGGACATGATTCTGATTTAAGAATAAAAGCTTTCTTCACTGCAGAGGAAAGCCTTCAATGGCAGGATTGCGTAACTCGATCGCGATGTCTCTTGCGCCAACTTTTTATGCTGAGTCAGCGCTGTCTTATCGATAAGATAAACAAGTTCCGCCAATCAAGTCTGGACCCACCGGGCTAGCTTGACCGCCTTCTGATTCGAGAGTATCTTCTGCCGCGCGGGCGTCGTCACATCCGTGGCACGGTTTCACCCCATCCGCATTTGCTTCAACGACGCGCTTTTCCCTCTCGTCTGCTACCAGGCGTTGTTTCAGTCGAGCACAGGTCGCAATGGTCATTTCTTACTGCTAGATCTCTCTGAGAAGACGCTGCTACTGTGCCTTTTGCCAAGGCCTGAAATCTTCCATAGCTTGAGTGGCAATCCTCCGCACCAATGTCAACTACTCCCAACCCCCGGCGCCGGTCACCGCGACTGTCCGAGGTCTCGGAATCCTTCTCCCCAATTGGGGACACCACACTCACTCGGGTACGGCCTCTCCATATTCCCGAATGAGTATATACGCTTATTATTCGTACTATATACATAGCTTTCGCGTCTTCCAATTCCAACCAAAAACCCTCTCACTCCCAGCCGACACGCGATGTCGACTACCACTCCCTCCGCCAACAGATTTACACCGCGTAACAGAGGCGCCGGTGCGCCTGCCACCCCATTCAGACTCAACGCAATTCAGCGACGGAATGCGAATACCCCTGGCCGGGATCGTAGGAAGAGCGGACGAATCCAACGTGAAACAACATTCGACATCCTTCGGAACCTGGGAAAGGGTGCGGTCCCCTCTTTCACATTCCGATGCTATTCTCATCTTCTAAAGAACTTACTCACGAATGCGCGAAACCTTTTGGGACAAAGCCGGCTGACCTGAAATAGCGCTTGCCCCGACTACCCAACCAATTCGTTCGTCACCCAGTGAGAAACCGGAGCCCGTGGCTCCAGAGCCGGTCGAGCCTGAGAAGGACGAGTTTGAGATCCTTGACAATGAACCCGAGCTGGAACGACCTCGGCTATCCCTGCCGCTAGAGGAAGTTGATGAGGTCGATGAGGAACCGGAGATGCGTCCTCCGAGGCTATCCCTGGCGATCGAGGAAGATGATAATACGGTTGAATACCCGAGGCGAGCTGCAAATGAACTAGACAGGGGCAGACTGTCAATGATGGGCCCGCGGTTGAGTGAGAATTTCGGCGATGCGACTCGGTTGGACAGTGACGATGAGGGTGACGAGGATTATACGGGACTTGTGCATGGCGACGACGCCGGAGACGAAGCAGACGAGACCATCGATAGCCAAGGGGCTTTTGATCGAGGGTGGGTCAAGTCTATTTCATGCGGAACGTCATTTTACATAGCTGACATGTCTTACGCAGGGGAGACACCGAGGACTTGGGCCGATTCAACTTCGAGTTCAATTTTCCATCGCCGCCAGCCCCGGGGGTCGGCGACTTGGACCAGAACGCACCGATGCACGATGATGAGGGATTTGAGCTTCCACCAGTGGATATGCCTCTCGATATGGACGTTGGGCCTGGCGATGACGATGATGTCAGTAGTGTGTCCAACGCTGGCGGAGACTTTGGCATGGACTTTCCGGCCGCGGAATCTGTCGCAATGAGCGAAAGCCGAAGTCCTGGTATTGTTGGTGGAGGTCTGCGGGAGGAAGATCAGTATACTCCTGGCGTCAAGCAAAAGAAGCTCTCCCGCCACGGCATTCCAGTTCCTAATCTACCCGTTGGTGTTGTGAAGAAGTTGGCCATGCGCTTTGCGCGGGCACGAAACGGGTCCAAGGCGAAAATCAGCAAGGAGACGCTGGCGGCGATTGAACAGGCCTCGTCGTGGTTCTTTGAACAAGCCAGTGACGATCTGGCAGCATATGCCAAGCATGCTGGGCGCAAGACGATCGATGAGAGCGACGTCACAATTTTAATGAGGCGGTGAGTACCCCATATCCGCTATTATTACAACGGGTATTAATTTCTTGAACTAGACAACGGCATCTGAGCAATGCCACTACTGTCTTCTCTCTTGCACAGAAGCATCTCCCGAAAGAGCTGTTGCAGGATATGAGATTGGCGATGCCACCATGAATGGTCGGTACATATACATAAATCTTTCTCAACATACAAGCCCCTCGCGACATGTCCCTGGATGGTGCAGATCGACCCCCGGAACAGACCTACCAGTTACGATTCAACCGCACACGACGAGTGGCCTCGTTCGGTCTTTTGCGAACGATCATCCAGAACATAATGGTCGTTGCCAGCGACAGGCCGTACCTATAGAGTGCATGAGCAGGGATTCTTCGGGGGTAATGATGCCCTGGCATTGCGAAAGCTGGACAAAACTCACCACGTGAAGATATACTGGCTGTGGTTATTGCGCAAGTTAACCTCGGCGGCACGACCGATAGGAATACCCTTAGCCTCCCGGTTATAGGACTCAACCAGATCCGGCACTATAGTTTAAACGAGAAAAAACAACGTTAGCTCTAGGCTTCCATTTTTCTCCGCTTGCACATAAAACACGTAGAAAGTCAAAAACATACCCATAGTCTGCTCAATCCAAACAGGCTGACTACCCGTCAACTCAGCCATCTGCTGGATATCAGGAAAGTAGAACTTGCCCTCCTGGGGCACATTCTCCGGGGTAAACATGTTCTTCTTCCACGGCTCGCGCAGCAGTCCCTCCACCACGACCTCACCGCGCGGCAGCGCCCCCTCCTGATCCCGCACCTTCTGGTCTTTCTGCTTCCGCGAGATCCACCCCCGGTTCACGAGAATGGTCGACTGCCCCTCGCCACGCTCCAGCGGCGTCACCACGAAGAAACCGTCCGTGCCGTCGTGCATCCGCGGCCCCACCAGCATCTCCTGGTCGTGCCGGAAGCGGCCCACCGTGTAGACGCGGCGGTAATCGAACTCGGAGATCGCGGCCGGATCGATCCGCGGCGGCAGCGGCAGCGGGTCTTTCACGAGGCGGTCTTCGAACGTGGCGATCATCTTGGTCTTCCGGTCCAGGCGGTAAATTTGCCAGGTTCCCAGGCCGAAGGAGATGATGGGGATTAGGGCTATTTTTGGTGAGGGGGGAGGGGCGGGGGTTGGTTAGTCGTTGATGATTTATGGAATGATGTAGGAGAAGAACCCCCCGGGGAGGGGAAAGGTGGTAGATGTGTAGAAGATAGAGACATACCTAGGATAATCAACCCGGGCCCATGCTTGTTTCCGGTCCGGACGATCTTCGCGGGATTATCGACGACGGAGAGCCAGGCGGGATCGTCGGCCAATTGATTGCTGTAGGATCGGGTTTGTTGCTGTATGCGACATCTGGCGCAGATTGAGTTGAGGGGTATGGGCTGGAAGAAGATGGCGTTCGTTCGGGGGCTGCGACGAAGGGAGGAGGGGGAGGAGTTTGAGGAGGTTGTTGTTGCGGTTCGTGAAGCGGGCCGCAATGATGCAGCGGTCCGGTGGAGGGCTGAGATGAGGGACCGCATGTTGATGAGTATATGGGTGCCCCCTCTCGCAACACAATTGAATGGGTTCGAGGGCTGGTGGGTGGGAGTGGGAGGAGAGGTGCGGTGCGGTGCGGAGAGAGGGAAAAGTAAATGAGTGAGTGAGCGAGTGGAGTGGAGAGCCAGTCGATTCCCAGTCCGCTTCCCGCCTTGCCTTATCGATTGTCACCTCCGCGCTCCGAACCTCTCCACCCATTGCATGCTTGCTTGTGATTTCGTTTCCCTTATCTTTGACTTGACAACTATTCTTATCTCTTCCTGAAATCATGTTCTACTCGGGGAGTCTACAGGGGGGAATTGTCTTGGCTGTCAGCCAGGCCAAGGCCGTTGTTTGTTTCGTTCGAGGTTCGTTACTTTGCTTTCATTGTTTGGAGAGCTGTCCCTTCTCCGCACTGCTGGCACCGCCCCTCCAACTGCTCGGCACGTACTCGGAATTTCGGAGCTGACGTCGGATCTAGATGATGAGCAGACGAGCAGTACATGGGAGGACAACTACTTCACAGGGGATGAGGAGGTAAACAGTAGCTACTCCATCGGGTCTATATCACGCCCCTCACTCACGGCTTAGTTCACCCGGTTACTCGAGACGAGAGCTGTCCTCTTGCGCCTCACCAAAGATAGTCAGGAAGCGGGCTTTCTGACATCTTTCTGCCCCATTGTCAAGTTTCCGACGGTCGTTGTCATAAAGTAAGTGCGGGTGTATTTAGTACTCGTGTTTATTGTCAGATTTATTGACGTCTTGCAGGAATGGCATGCTGTGCGACTATCTCGTGCCGGAGATATCCGATGAGGACTTTCGTAGTCGTCTTGCTGCCAAGCTGAATGAAACTCAAGCCACTGCTCAACCGGACTCGACTGGGGCGTCTGGAGATGCTATGGAGGGTACTGCGAGTCCGCCTACCGTGCCTGTGTCCACAGCTGTTGCGCCGCCAGCTGCTGCGCCTGCAGCTGCACATGTGACTGCCATTTCATCGACTCCAGCATCTGGTGCGAGTGAGACACGCGACTCGAGTAGGCGCGAGGGCAAGAAGAGAGTGGAGGATGCGCGAATATCCCAAGTCACGACCCCAGCCGCGACACAGAAGAAGCCCACCCTAGCGCCCAAGCAAGCCAACAAGGCCGTCACTCCAGAACAGCCACCCCGCAGAACCCTATTGAAGCCCGTCGCCTCCACTCCCAAACCTACGCCCCCATCCCCTCAGACTGAAGCACCGCAAGTCCATCAACCTCCATCGCCCCCGGAACAATACCGTCTCCAAGTCCGCCTCTTTGACGGCAGCTCCGTCCGCTCCAGCTTCTCCCCGTCGCAAACCATCCGCGCAGACGTCCGTCCCTGGCTTGACACGCAAACGCTAGAGGAGAAACGTCCCTACAACCTCAAGCACATTCTCACTCCTCTCTCTAACCGCACCCTGACGATCGCCGAGGAAGAGCAAAGCCTGGCAGAGCTCGGTCTAGGCTCATCCGCGAATCTTGTCATGGTGCCCATCAGCACATACACAGACGCTTACTCCGCAGCAGGATCCAGCCTTCCCATCCGCGCTGTGTCCTCCGCGTACGGACTCTTCTCCTCCGCGGTAGGCACCGCCACGGGATTGGTCGGTTCATTCTTGGGGTATGGATCGACGGCTCGGGATCCGAGCTCTGCTCAGACGGGATCACCCTCTACCAGTACCTCCTCGACGAGTGATGCGGACCGAAGGGCTCGGCCTGCTGGCGCCTCGAACCGAGGCCCGATTATTCGGACGCTGAGAGACCAACGTGGTGAGCAGGAGAATAACCAGTTCTATAACGGGAACCAGGTAAGCCACTGCCTTCCTTGATCTCATTGTGAACTACGTCCGTGCATTGTTAACAACGAGTCGTAGTTGAACTTCCAACCACGCAGGGATGATACGGATCGTCGATGAGGGGTTGTGTACTGTACTTTGAGCTCAGTCGTCGAGAGATTGGATCACTTTCTTCAGATGTATGTAGTATAGCGATAGCACTACCCATTTTACTGGGATCTGGGAAACACGAAGCTACGAGACTACAGGGAATATGTCTATGAAGAGTGGAAATGTTTCTGTTTTTTTTGTCTCTGGTTTTCGTTCTTCGTGCCTATCGGCTTTCGTGATGGTTGATCTAGATATACAAGGGTAATAGTAGTAGTGGCAGGCATGATGATGATGATGATGATGGTAGCCAGTCTTCGTCGCCATGCAGACCATGCAGAAAAAGAAGGAAAAACAAGCAGATGGCAAATTTCAACCATCCTTCAGCTCAAGCCCTGCCTCGGATGATATAGGGACTTGAGATTGATTCCATTCCACTCCATAAGGCAAGGAAAACATAACTAGACAAAAAAGTACATTCCCCAACACCAGCACTCCAGAAGAAGAAAAGCTGCAAGAGAAACCCGTTGTCGGAGATGTCAGGCAGGGGGGTATGGTATGTGATGATTTTGCATCATGCAATTCGAAACAAAAGGAATAGAAGAATGCAGTATAGATCGATCTCTTATGTCAAAATATATTTAAATCCATACGGAGATATGGATTTATATGTGACCGTTTTTTCAATAAGTCTAGTACTGCTTAGCAGCAGCCTGGCAGGCTTTCTGTATGTAGAAAATAGAAAATTAGCAATCTCTCTCACACATACTACCGCACACCTTTCTGTCACAAATGGCAATGTGAAAACGGGGAAATAACGAACCAGCTGATCCAAATACCATCCGCAGATGGACATGTTGCCCTGGTTCTCGTCCATGCAGCGACGGAAGTTCTGCACGTCGGTGGCGCAGGCTGGGTTCTCCCAGGAGCTGTTGGTGGCGTTGCCGGCCCAGAGGGCGTTGTCCATGGCCTGGGGCGCGGCCGGGGGAGCAGCGGCCTCAGCGGCCTCGGCGGGGGCGCTGGAGCCGCCGCCGCTGAAGAACCCGCCGATGGCGTGGCCGATGGAGGATCCGACTGCTACACCACTGTTTTTGGTCGGTTAGTGATGGGTTTCGGAAGGGGACCACCGGGCGATGCGGATGGTCTTCTGTTCAAGGCGGAAGGGGACAACACGGCAACAGGGCTACTTACGCAGCGGTGGAAGCCATCTGGCCGAAGAGACCGGGGCCGGAGCTCTGGACAGGAGCAGCCATCGGGGCCGGGGGAGCAGCGGCAGGAGCAGCGGCAGGAGGATGCGCGGAGGTCGAGTGAGGCTGGCTGTGCTGCTGCTGGACAGGAGCTGCCGGTCTGGCGGGTGCGGCAGTAGGTCTAGTGGGAGCGCTGCGCGCGGGGGTGGGAGCGGCACCACGGCGTTGACGAGGCATTTTGGACTGTGTTGGTGGGTGGATAGGATAATAGAAGGGAGTTGAAGTTGGTGTTGAAAAGGAAGTGGTGGTCTGGATGGCAAAAGATGGATGGGGGGGGGGGGAAGATTGTCTTTATGGAAAAAGAACAAGCTCGAATCCCCGTCGGGCGGAGAAAGTTCCAAACCTCCGATGCTGTGCCTATTTCGCCACTGCTGATTGGTGCTGCCTCGGTTTATGTCAGCCTCCGGTCCGGCAATTCGGAGCTTGTCGTTGATTGGTTGAGTTATTCGGCCACTTCAGGTACTGTACATTCAAACCTAAGATTTGTCATGTGATTATCGGTTTACACTGAATTGATACCTGTGGACTGGACAGCAAAATTCGAATAACTATTGCATTAAAGCTCCATCGATTGCACAGTTATTGGAAAAATTTACAGCAGTTGGACGGAAACCTTCGTCGAAAATTCCTTGATCGCGGCCTACATACGGAGTTATCCATCCATTGAACACCCCTTATCTCCGGCTGATGTTCCCTCATGAGTCACCGCCAAACATGCCCATGATCCACACGGCTGAGCATGTGTGTGTAACCAGATTAAGATCCCATGTTGCCACTGTTCGGCTGTGGTGGAACCTGGCAGTAAGTGGTGGAAGAGTCCAAGCGTCGCGCCGATTCCACTGTCGCGCTGTAGGAGGTACAGTTGCCGGCTCGCACAATACTCAGGAACGGATACCCGACCAGCCTTGCGCCTCACATGGTTTGGTCAGGAGCCGGTCTGAACGATAGTCTCCGTCGAGTCCTCCTAGTTAACCCATGCTATAGGCCTTGAGGGCTCCCTTCGTAGCGGCGTATATGACACCCTAGAAACAGACCCGAATGCGACTCGGCCAACGATCAAAAGTGCTAGTTGTGATTGATAAGCGGAGTAGTGCTTAGCCATGTAGAGCGGACCAGCCGATCACAATGCTAAGCCATGTGCAACGTTGAAGATCCAGAGGCTACCTCATTTGAGATTCTTCGCTTTGCGCATGTCGCCCTTCTTCTTCCGCCTATCCTTCTTGACTTCTTTGCGCTCTTCTTTGTTGAGTTTCTTCCGTTGCTTGTCCTTGGTCCTCTTCTTGTCGTCGTTGGGTTGCTTCTTCTTGCTCTTCTGGGTGGTCGGTGCGGGTTTCTCGTCCGCGTCGTCGCTTTCGGCATCAGACTCGTATTCGGAGTCGTCGGTGACATTCTTGGTCGGTGGATCGGAGGTCGAGGAGTCTTTCTTCGCTAGGAGTGATGCCTTGAGCTGCGCGCGTGCTCTTTCCTTCGCCTCTCGCTCTTTGCGCTCCAAGTCGATTTTGTCATTTCCAGCCTGGCCGCTAGTTAGTACCGCCATGCTGAGAGAACTGCCGACTCCTAGAATAAAACCTACAAGACCGTGTTTGATGAAGCGACTGGCGGCCTCTTTGTCGAGCTTGAGAGTGCGTTGCTCGGGGCCCGTCTCCAGCTCTTTGATCTTTTCGAAGTATTGCTTCACTCGGGTCAACTCTCGAAAGACCGGGTGTTCCTTGGCGTTAACACCGTGCAGGCGCAACCAGGCTATGACAAAATCAGTACATACACAGCTATCGCCGAGGGAATGATGACATACAGAAAATGAGAGATTCCAAGGTATAAGTGACCAAGACATGGAATTTGGCTTTGTCCAATACTGGAAGATTGCTCGATGTTTTCACAACGGAGCCGTCCAGCACAGGCTGGAGAATCTCCTCGAGATCATCAATGTTGTCATCTAGCTGCTCAAGCAGCGGGAGTAGATCTGCAGCCTCCATATTGAGCACGGTTCTTTGTATGCTGAAAGGAGGAACCTCGAAAATCTGGTACAATATGGTGATTTTTTCGGTGATGAAGGCGGTGAGCGAAGCGGTGGCGGGTCGAAATTGTCCGTCGCCTCTTACTCTATTCACATCTTTCACTTAGCTTTCATCTTCCATTCTCCCGAAACTTATTGAACGGTTTAATTAATATTGTTATAATCAGAAATCCCTGGCTCTAATTGCCCGGATCTCACCTGAAATCATACGCTGCTCAGGGAGGAGAGCGACCACTGTCTCCACAGAGGGTACATTCCCCCGGCCCCCCGGTTTCTCAAGACCGCTGTTCCGCGGCAGCTTTTCAAAGTGTCGTACATATTCAGACGCAGTCCGCTGTGGCGGACTGGACCATATACATCATGCTTTTCATCGGTATTAAAAGCTCGGCAATTTACCGTCAGTTGCTTCATGTCGAACTCTGCCAATGAACCGAAGGAATCGCTCGACGCCGGCTCTAATTCCCGGCTCTCAGGGCGCATACACATCGTGGGTAGTGACAATGACGCCTTATTTATTGCTCACTCATTAGCAAGTCGACGGTCTGTGCCGCCTATCACTCTGATGTTGAACGATTTTGGCACCTACCAAAAATGGGTGGCTGCGAAACAGAGCATAAGTTTGCAAGCGAATGGGTTGGAGGACATCAAGACCGGCTTTGATGTGAACGTCAGGAGGGGCAAGGCTACCTGGTACTCGATTCCACAGACGACCGAACAGGTCGACTACGGAAATCATGACACGCTCGAATCTGAGGGCGACTTCTATGGCGCGGCGGAACCTGAATCTCCCGGAACCGTGCAATTCCAACAGGATGACTCGAAAATCGAGTGTGCAATCATCCCTGTCAGATCGAACTGGACTGCCCTGGCCGTGGAATCGATTCAGCATCGCTTGACGCCTGATTCGACGATCCTAATCCTCTCAGACGGCCTGGGCACGATGGAAGAAATCAACAAGCACTGCTTCCCGGACCCGGTGACACGACCGCACTACATGCAAGGAGTATTCACCCACTACATTCGTCGGAGAAAGGGTAGTTTTCAATTCTATCATGCTCAGCTGGGCACACTTGTATTAGGGGTTCCACCGCAGGAAAATAAACTGTCTTTAGCTGAGGCCGAGAAAATATATTGGACGCAAGCCTGGGCTCGAACCACCAAGTACCTCATGCGCATTCTGACCACCACCGCGCCACTCGTCGCTACTGCAGCAGCCCCGACCGATCTCTTGTTAACCCAGCTGGAGCAAATCGCGGTACAATCCGTTCTCCAACCGCTGACCGCGCTCATGGGATTCAAAAACGGTGCTACTCTTTACAATTACCACTTCACCCGTCTCACGCGCCTCCTCCTCCTCGAAACCTGTAGCATTATCGCCGCTCTGCCCGAGGTTCGGTCAATTCCTGGGATCGAGGTCCGCTTCGGCCCGGAGCGCATACGCCGCATGCTCACCCAAGTGGCCGAAAGGACTGCCGGCCAGGAGAGTAATATGTTGCGTGATATCAATGCGGGCAAGGTAACTGAAATCCAGTTCCTGAACGGCTACATCGTGCGCAGAGGCGAGGAGCTCGGCCTCAAACCAGTGATGAACTACATGATTCAAGCATTGATCCAAGGAAAGACATATGAGACCAGACAAAAGGAAATCTCTGCAATTCCCATTGATGTCCCCATGGAAGGGCGAAGAAGGGATTCTCGAAGCGCTCCATAATCCGAATTAGACCGCAAGATGCTCCCAGATTTGGGTCATTTTACTAAACAATTTCCTCTCAACTATGTCTAAATTCCTAGCAGGGAACCGTATCTAGGGCTTGAAAGCAGAGCCTTCTAATCTGTCTCCACCGGTTCAGGAGCATTTGTACCTTTTCTGGGTGGAATTGGTCGCTCTTACCGGACAGAACACTCTCCAGATATCGAATCGCTTTATCTGCCTCTTCGATATATGCGTCAATCCAGTTTCGAACGACCTTAGAGGATCTCCTTTCATCCACACTCTGACTCGAGTACCCGAGAACATGATCCTGCCAGTCCTTGGGCGTCATATATGTGATCGCAGCAGCGATTTCGGTCCGGTAGCAAACACCACCGGCCGTGAGTTGGTAGTTCCTGATTGGCCCCAGATTAGTGACGGTGATCTGCATCACAACGGAATCAGGAGCGATAGTACTGTACATACCCCAGGTACTGATGAAAATCCAGTTCCTCTTGCAATTTAGGGCCGAGATCTTTGAATATAATGGCATCGAGATATAGAGTCTCAGATTCGTTTTCCTCCAAGTAGAAACCATCTATAAAACAAGGTCAACCAAGAGCGTGGGGATGCGCAAGTCTAGGGCTGGGTGAATACTCACACTCAGTGAATAGAAAATCATTCGGATGTGGACCATAGCTCATATAGATCTCATCCCCTTCATCTGCGACATAACAACAAGCAGTCAATCAATAAACCAGCCCCCAATCATCTGCCAGGCAAATAAAAACGATGAGGTGATTTAACCATACCGTACTCCTTCGCCGCGCGAAACACATAATGAAGCCCATCAAACTTGACATTGCACTGAGACACCCATCCCCAAAAAGTCAGCCATACCAACTTCCCCGGCACAATGCGCGCGCGCACACACACACACACACACGCACGCACGCACGCTTGAATGTCCGAACTTACCGCTACATCCGAGTGATTGAAATAGTCAGCGAAAGGCAGCAGGGCCATGGCATCATTGCGGTCCTCCGGCGGTTCCTGGCCGGGCACCAAGTAAAAAAAGCTCCTCGTGTTGACGATCAGCCAATGATACGAGAACTGGTCCCAGTCGGTGTTGGGGAACACGGCAACCACCATGTCCCAGTCCCTGCGCAGGCGTTGTTCCTGCTGCGCGAGGAGGTTCTGGTGGGTGGTTTCGTAGTCGTGCGCGCATGGTTGCGGCGGGATCGTGGTCCATTGGCCGGAGATGGAAGGGGGGAGGAGGGCTGGGGCGTCGGATTTGGGGAGTGCCAACGACAACGACGACGACGACAACGACGACGACGACGACGACGACGACGACGACGAGTGCTCGGATTTTGTTGGATGCCGGAATGACGCAGGCCAGAGGATGGGCATGCTCGCTTCGAAGTCGGCGCGGGTGGGCCAGGTGCGCCGCCAGAGGGTGTAGGGTTCCAGGTCGGCAGGGTCGCCGTTGGTGAGATAGGCGGCGTATAAAGCGTGGGTAGGGGTTCCATCGGGGAATCTGCTGGAGAAGGAGGTCGGGATCCGTGAGGGGGTTAGCATGGCTTCGTGGGGCACTGTCACGATGGCTTCGTCTTTCTGGGTTGGTGGGTTTGTGTCAGTAGATGGCTGGCGGCTTTTGTTAGTTATGTATTTTTCGTACTTCAATGTGCCGTGTGGCGATCATCCCCAGTCCTCGACCGGGGAATCGTGCCGGACTGACTCCGTTGATCATGATGCCCTGGGATAACGCCCATTCGGTGAAAGCTTCATGTTGTTCGCCGGGCCACCAGGTGGGTCGCATGTTTGCGATTGTCGAGCCAGACGACGCGGTGTTGTTCTTATGTTTATGATAGGGGGATAACCGTGATCTGATCGATCGGATGATTATGTTGACATTTGATGTAATGCTAGCTGGCTCTCCTGTTCGAGGGATCTCGCGATTGTGACGATGCGGCTGCGTCCAAATTATCTGGAAATTGTTCCGCGCTCAACCCAATCGATAAAGGAAAGCCTCTCTTTGTGTTTATCTTATCGATCTTTATCAGTCGGTACGGCACGCCAGACCCACCACTCACGCTATCCGGAATCTCCCCGAAATCGTACCACTTGCATCTACTTCGACCGACCACTGCCCCCCACGAAGCTCGAGTCCAGTGCGACGTGGTGTCCCTTTGAACCTCAAGGATGTCTGTTCTCGGGAAGCGCAGCGCCGCACTCAGCGCTCGAGAGCTGAACTTCCTTGCCACAGCAACAATCGCAGCTCCTGTTCCCCTCCAGTCTCGATCCGCGCGGTCCTTCTCCGCCTGGAACCGTCCTCCGCCAAACTATCCCGGCCATGTGCCATTGACCTTTTTCGAGCGCGGAGCCTTGGCCGTGGGCTCTGCTTTTGGAGCTCTCATTAACCCGCGAAGAGCTGGTGCGCTTTGAACCTATCCTTTCCCATCATCAACCTCGCCTGCATTCTCCTCCCCGCAATCATACGCTAAATCCAAGTACCTACGCTAACCACGAACACGATTCCAAACAGATCTCATCGCAACCTGCGGCGAAGCCACAGCAACCCCCTACTTCATCTACCGCCTGCGCGACGCGATGCTTTCCGACCTGACGGGGCGGCAGATCCTCCGCGACCGACCGCGCATCACCTCCCAGACGCTCCAGATGTCCTACCTGCGCACGCTGCCGGAGAACACGGTGGGGCGGACGTACGCGACCTGGCTGGACCGCGAGGGCGTGTCGCCAGACACGCGGGACAACGTGCAGTACATCGACGACCCGGAGTGCGCCTACGTCATGCAGCGGTACCGCGAGTGCCACGACTTCTACCACGCCGTGACGGGCCTGCCCATCTTCGTGGAGGGGGAGCTGGCGCTCAAGGCGTTCGAGTTTCTGAACACGTTGATCCCGATGACGGGGCTGAGTCTGTTCGCCTCGGTGCGGCTGAAGCCCGCCGAGCGCGAGCGGCTGTTCAAGATCTATCTGCCGTGGGCGGTGAAGAGTGGCCTGAAGAGCAAGGAGCTCATCAATGTCTACTGGGAGAAGATTCTGGAGAAGGATGTCGGCGAGCTGCGCGAGGAGTTGGGCATCGAGAGGCCGCCGGATATGCGCGAGATCCGGAGGATGATCCGCATGCAGAAGAAGAGGGAGAAGGAGGCGACTGCGGCGAAGGCCGGGTTGTAGTGTGTTGGTTATTTGGTAGGCGTGATACCTGTGTATATTATAGTATTGCATGGCATGGATATACTGTTATTTCTGGTTTAAAAGAATTTCCTTGGTTTGGTTGGTGGATCTACGTGGGTTGATAGAGAGGTGTGAAGGAGAACTCAAAGGTCACGCGGAGTAGGCTGTACGCAAGCCGGCCTTCCGCACGAAGCAGGCGTAAGAGTAGCTTTTCATCTCGAGGCATTTTTTCCGCCACCGTTGCAGAGCCAATAGCCCAGACATATAGCGCACGCATGGCTCACCCAGGATCTAGAATGGCCTGGAGAGAAGAGGAGAAGCAGGCGAAAGGTATCATAAAAGAGACTGCAAAAGACCATCATCATCACCTGCGGACGTCAAACGTCTCTCTCGCTAATAACACTTCATCACATCAGATTTGTTGTTGTCGCCTCTACAAGTCCAACAGATCGTCGTCGTCGTCCCAGCCACCTTTGCGCCGCGAGATCACAATCTTGTGCTCCTCCTCGTCCTTGCGCTGGTTCTCGGCCATGGCGTTGAGCAGCTGCTTCAGCTGGTCCTCCGACACCTTCTGGCGCAGTTGGCCGGTCTGCGCGAGCATGATCAAGCGGTTCTCCACGTCCATGGCGCGCGATTCCTTGACAAGGCGGATGCGGCCCAGGCGGTCGGCGGCTTCCGGTTCGAGGATCTGGTTCAGAATGGAGGCACGGCGGTCGGCTAGTTGGGGAGGTTATGGTGAGTAAAGTCATCTTTCTTTACAGCATGGTAGGCGGAGGTGGGGGAGGAGGAAACATGGCGCGGATGTTGCTCCAGGTCGGCCCTCTTCACATGTAACAGGTGGATCTGGAGTTGGTATTGCGCATACCTTCAGCTTGTCTTGACAGAGAGTTAGCGATCAGTGGTTTCAATCATGTGGGTAGCTGTAAGGAGTGCGTACTTTCTCTGATCTTCTTGACCGTCACCTGGCCCGCCGCGTGCACCACCGCTCTGTTGCTGGAGCTGAGCCATGCGGGCCCGTCTGATCTGTTACATGTCTGAGCATTAGGATCGAAGAACGATACACTGATGGGAAAGAACGAGGTTGACTATGGCATCATGATGACAGATGGGGAAGATCGAAGGGTCGGAGCATGAGGCTGGCATACTGACCTCTTCCAACTCTGCGTCGGCCATGGTTGCTGCTGGTTAAATTGATCGACAATCTGTGGAAAGGGGGATTTCTCCTTGATCAGTGCGGCCTGCTCGGGGAATTTCAGTGTAGATCGTCGGACCAAGAGGATCTCTGCTGCGAGATACTAAAGTAAAAATTGTATCGAATGAAACCCCAAAGTTGGAAAATAGATTATGCACGGAGGGAATGGAGGTAACCCGCTTCATGCATCTGCTATTGATGGAAGTTTCCACCCCCACCTTGATGATAGCGTCATGCCTCAGGCACCCAGGCCACTATGTACCTCCCGAGCGGGTCGCCATGAGGCATCCCCAAGGCCATCATTGCCCCATCAGGAAATCAATAGTATGGCGGAGGGAATGCAGCTTCGATCCGCCAGATTGGGACGATCACACCGCAATTCAGCTCTATTGCCTTAGCAATGGCTACAGTCAAGCAGTGACAGCTGGGCTCTCTGCCGATCAGGGCCTCAACCAAGGATCAGTTAAGGTTCCAATGTCTCAGAAGCTGATAATTCCCTTGTTTGCTTATACTCATACACATACACATACTTATCTACTGCACATATGGTCATCCACTGCCAAGACCACAGTCATCTTCAGTTCACCGAGCACTGACAATCCCACTGCTTTGGGTTGAGATTGTCCGGTAGGGCCAGGCTAAAAGCAAGCCGGCGCGATCCCAACCATTGACAAATGGGTCTCCAATTTTTTGGGTCGGGTCTTCAATTGCATCGAAGCCAGTGTACTGACTAGGTGAGTAGTATCTAGGGCGAGAGGGGGGTGGAAGGGGATGAAGAGGCAAGTGAGAATAAGCACCCCCTCCTGATCCAGCCACCCACTCCGGTATCCCTTTGCGAGACGCTGGTCTGTATCAAGGTCACCACACACACACACACACACACACACACCACCCTCGGAGCGGAAACCGAAGAAGCCGGCATGGGAACGTGGCTTCGAGTTATTTATAAATCGGAATGCAGTGAAGGAGACGAGGATCGGTACGGGGGAGTACAGTACGGAGTACTGCTATCGGCAGATCCGTCTCCAGATACTCCGTCTCCAGCCATTGCAGGGGGTCTTTTTCCTTCTTTTGTTATTGGGAGGTGTGATGAAGGTGTGATGGTTTCTCCTTGGGGGACAGATTGACTCGGAGCTAGAACGACCTTCCCATCTGGTCATTTCCTTCGCTAAGCTTCACTTACAGATGACGGGCAAAGATATCGGCCTGACGCGACAACTGAAGTTTAAGCGCCTGAGGGTGTGATTGGGTGGGTGGAGGTACCTCCGCGTATTCTCCGTACTTAGCGTAAGATAAACGACACTCGCCACCGGAGCTAATGCTGCAAAAAATCCTTAACCGTCCTTCGAGTGGCCGCCTGACCGCGGGCGGCGATACGGGTAAAGTACAGTAATTACCTCCATTACTCTGGCTCTGCTTCAGGCGCCGCCGGGGCTGTGCTTGCGCTGGTGCCCATCAGTTCCGCCCTCTGTCTGTCTGTCAGTGTCTTGTCTATCCCGTACTCTCCGTACTTCGTACTCATTACCTACTACCTTACTCCGTACCTATCCAAAGTTCTCAAAATCACCTTTGCCCACTACCCTAATCCTTAATCATATGAAATTTTAATCCCAACCTCTGCCTTCTTGCGCTTCTTCTGCTTCTTTGTTTCCCCCTCTCTTTTCCCTTTTAATACGAACCAACAATATCAACGCCCACCTGGAGAAAAAGAGGGGTAGCATCCGCGACTCTAATATCCACACCCTTCCTTTTGATCACGCCCTGATTCCCCGATCCGCCTCTATCGTCATCTGTCCGGCACTATCCTACCTACCCTACCTCCCCCTCCCCTCCTCCTCCTCCATCTCCCCTCCCCCCTCTCCCTCAATTCGCTTCTACTCACTCTCCTTCACTTATTCTTTCTTCGTACACTCCCTCACTATATTCTCTCCATCAAGCGATTCTTGTTGCGTCGTTCAATTCCCGTTCCTTCCTAGTCGGTCTCAATGCGTCGTGGCTCGACTCGTTGATTTCTCTCCACGCTGCGCGCTGGCGGAGACGTTGCGTTACTCTTACACCTACCACCCCCTACTTCACTTGTCCCATGCATAGATCTTGATTACGCTCTCTTGAGTCTGTGAGGAGTTGCAGATGGGAAGTCCCGGGTCTACTATATACGTGGTTGTGAAACCCGCCTCGCTATCATTGTAATACCCCATCTATCTTCAGTAACCCGACCCGCAGCTTCGCTTATCACCATGGCCGAGTATGTCTTCTTAACCTGTTCATTCTCTTACTGCATTCTCGTACGGCATCACTAACTGTCGGAGACAGTTTCATCGCCTTTCACACTTACTATTCGCGTCATAACTTCCTCTCACCCTCCAACATGCTTCCGCGGCCTACCAGCCACAGACGATCCCTCTCCTCCGAGAATAGGTCTCTGTCACCCGACAGAACCATTACGAAAGCGCGCTCTACAAACGATTTATCGAAGATCGTCACCGAGAAACCGACCCCCGGAGTGCGATCATCCAGTGTGGGGAATTTTCCAGACAGCAACTTCAATACCCTTAAGGATCCGAGACTTGCGAGCAGCGCGGAAAGCTCGGAAACCGCATCCACCACCCAGTCGCATCACCCCGATCTCAGCAATGAAGTCGCAGCTCTAAGTGTTAAACTTGTTCAGGCGATCAACAACCAAACCACGTTAGATGACAGCTTAGTTGCCACCCGCCAGGAACTCGAGCAAGCTCAGAAAAAGATCCGCTCTCTCGAGTCGGAGAACGACAAATACCGGCGCGACGTTGAGCAGGAAGTACTAATCAAGAAAGCCGATGTCGATTACGAAATGTTGCGCCTACAGGCCGCCTTGGCTGAAGAGAAGGCCCAGCGCGCGCTTGCAGAGAAGGAGAAGAAAGGCATCGAACAAGAACTAGAGACTTTGACTGCTGCTCTGTTTGAGGAGGCCAACAAGGTTTGATCTCAGCAATGTATGCTGTTGTCCCAGCTCGTGTGCTGACATATTTGTCTAATTATAGATGGTCGCAGCCGCTAAACTCGAGCGTGAAGCAGTAGAAAAGAAGAACGAGCAATTACGTGCTCAGGTCAAAGATACCGAAGCACTCCTCGCATCGCATCAGGAGCAACTTGCCGAATTGAAATCTGTTTTGCAAGGAATGAACGTCACCAAGGACGATGCTGATGCTCGGACCATCATCTCAACTGCGCCGTCCTCTCCAGCTGCACCCATGCGGCCTCCATCCATCAGAAAGAACATGGAGAGTTCGGATGCCCACGAGGATGTCATCGCAATGGAAGATATCACACCGGCCCCTTCGACCAGTTTCCCACGCCTGATCAAGGCTGTTTGTCGCACCGATATACAAGCGTATGAGGATTTCCGAGAACTGTTCACCACGTCGAGATTGTCCAAGCCGCCGAGTCGTGCCACCAGTGGGTCTTACGCCGGCTTGAATGTCATGAGCCTTGCTAGTCTGAGCACTGGCGGCTTCGGCTCTGCGTCCTCGTCGCCTGCGAAATCCAATACCCATTCTCCCAGCGGGAGCGTGTCGTCTCCTCAACCAGTCACATCCCACATCCCATTGAAGGAAACCCGCTTCTACAAGCGAGTGGCTGTAGAAGATATTGAGCCAACATTACGACTGGATGCCGCTCCTGGGATCTCTTGGCTAACTCGGCGGTCTGTATTGGGTGGAATCTGTGAGGGTAGTCTGTTGGTTGAGCCTATGCCTTCATCGGCTAAGCGGTACGAGTTCCCATGCTCACTCTGTGGCGAACGCCGGACCGGCTCCGTCAACGAGAGGACTCATCGTTTCCGCACTTCCGACAACGAGACCGCCCAGCGCTACCCGCTGTGTGTGCTTTGCTTGGAGAAGGTACGATCATGCTGCGAGTTTACAGGATATCTTCGCTTGATTCTCGACGGGCATGTTCGAATTGGGGATGCCGAAGAGGAGAAGGAAGCCTGGGATGAGACTATAAGATTGAGGGAAAGAATGTTTTGGTCCCGGATTGGTGGCGGCATCATTCCTTTGTTCAACCAGTCACACCGACACCACGCACATCACGAGAGTTTCTCGAGTGCAGCAGAAAATCCCCTGGAGACGATTGTCGATGGCCCGGAAGAAAGCCTACCAGACCTTACACCCGAGGTTGATCACACAAGTCTGCAAATTCGAAATATCGACGAGCTTGATAATGAAGTGCAGGAAAAGACCTCCCTTAACGAGGACCCATTCGCGTCTGCTCCCGCGGATGTCGCGATTCCAGTGACCGTTTCGATTCCTGATGATGGCACGGATACCGAAGACCATGAAAAACTATTCCATGATACACATGAACAAATTGACGGGCCATCGGACCTCGCCCAGATCGCCCATGTTGATGAAGAACCCCAACCCTCTGTGCATATAGAGGAGACTGTTATCAGTCACCCTGCAGCCAAGAGTGGCATTTGCTGATTCATTGCACACAAATTACTTTTCGAGACATGTGAACACCGAACACACAGATACAATGTTATCGACCTTCCATTCTCGCGTTTCAGAGCACCGTGTTTCGATATCCAATTGCTATATATCATTTTCTCTTTCACCTCATACCCAAAGATTTTCTTGTGTGGCTGCCTGCTTAATCACTCACCGATCCCGTCGCTTGCTGCCTTAGGCATATTTCAGAGCAAGCGCAGCCCATGGTATGTATTATTAATTCTTGCTGAAATTGCCCTTCCGCCCTGTATAAATAATATCCTATCTTCCCTTCTTTTTCTGTTCTTCGTCTTGCTCACAGACGCCGTTGTCTTCTCTTGCCGAGCGCAACTCCTGATCACGCAGAAAGGAGCCGCGAATGAACCATGACATTGTATTCGAGTTGAATTCTTCGTTATGCGTTTCTTCATTTTTTTCTTCTTCCAAGATTGTTCTCTTTTTTTCAACCTTCCTTGTCGTCTTCTCTTTCGCTTCTTACTCTTTGCTTTTATTGCTGGTACTAGACACCGTTCTATACATGGTGACAGGATGGTGTGGTATACGAGATGGATGATACCGAAGCACGGGCTGACGAGCTTCTACACATGCACATATTACAATCTATGATGATCTTATTACCTGGAGCAATAAGCATAAAGCATGAAGACCCTATAGCCTAAATCATACACGAGTAGTGGCGTGGAATGACTGCATCAGAGGGGGTGTGTTTTGGTCATGAAATTTGCGACAGGATGGGCCTGTCTCGTCTCTCGCATCCAGAAAAAAAAAAAAGAAATACCAGCGAGTCAAGTTATACATACTCCGAAACAAAGATATGGGAACTAGAGAAGAAAAAAACGAACAAAAAGAAAAAAACGCCTCCATGAGAAAGATGTAAAATCGAAAATAATTTAGCACCGATGGGGGAGGAGGGGGGTTTCCCCGCGAGCGTAGCAATCAATCACAGCTTCAAGATACCCATTTACCACTCCTCTTTTGTTTGGTGGATCAGCAGCTACCGCTGGTAATTACCCTGACGCTCGTGGATCCGTCGGATCTGCTCTTCGACACTCATATTTTGAGGATTAGGAGGGCCACCCGCGGGACCGACGGGCACGGGACCCTGCCCATGGGCACCTTCGAAGGCCATCCTTTTGTTGCGCGAATCCTCCGCTGCTGCTGCCGCAGCAGCCGCGGCGGCGGCGGCACCGTCGGTGGGGAGGACGGTGGAGTCGAAGACGTCGCTGCGCTGGCTGGCGAGCCGCTTGAGGTTGTTGACGACGTCCACGGTCGATAGGTTGGTGGTGGCGCTGCGCGACTCGGCCTTGGCGCGTTGCTCCTTCCAGCGGGGGTCGAGGAGCTCGATGCGCATGTGCTGCTCGAGTTCGGCCACGGGGATCTGCTGGTGGCAGTTGGGGCAGAGGGCGGTGGCGCCGCCGGCGTTCTGGCGGCGGGCTTGCGCGCGCGGGACGTAGTCGGAGCGGATGCGCATGGGCTGTTGTTGTTGTTGCTGCTGGGGCTGGGCGGTGGCGTTGGCTTTGAGGGCGGCGGCCTGATCGCGCGCTTCCATGCGCTCGCGGATATAGCGCTCCTCTTCCTGGTGTGCGGCGGTGAGCGCGGCGGCGGGCGCGGTGGGCATGGGGAGGCCGACGTGGGGCGGGTAGATGGGGCCGGCGGTGTTCTGAACGGGGTTGGGCTCAGGGACGAAAGGTTGGGAGACTTGTTCGGGGAAGTGCGGATGCGGGTAGGCGTTGTAGTAGTTGGAGGCGTCCAGGTCGGTGGGCATGGCTTCTTCGATGCGCAGCGGGTTGAGCGACATCATGGCCTTCTGCTCGAGGGAGGCGGACTGCAGGTCGTGGAGGGAGGTCGGCGGCGGCAAATCGATCTGGTCGTCGGCCGCGGTGAACAGCACCGTCTCGACCACGACGAAATCGTGCCAGTCGATCTCGGCGTAGGCGATCCGCTCCTTCTCCTCGGCCTCCTCCTTCTCCTGCTTCTGCTGCGCTTGGTATTTGACCCACTCGGCGCGCTCCTTGGCGCGGTCGAGCACGTGGTACTTGTTCTGGACGTTGCGCTCGAGCTCGCCGACTCGCTTCTTCTCCGTTGTCGCGGCGTCGATGCCCTCCGCGCGCAGCAGGATCGTGTATTGATCGACGAGGCGCGTGAAGAACGAGTAGAGACTGTGCTGCGGGCGGAGGAAGTCGAATTGGAAGTTGCGGGCCTCGCGCTGGGAGAGGGCGGTCATGAAGGACTTGCCGCGTCTGGCCACGAACAGGGCCGTCAGCTTGACGACTTCGAGATCCTGCGCGTTGATGATGGGCATCCGGGCGGAGAAGTGGAACTCTGGGGGCTCGGGGGGGCCCTTGGGCTTCTCAGGCTCCGCGGCCGCGCTGGCTTCGCCGGGACGACCTGTGAGCGCAGTCGACCCTCGCCCTTCCTTGATCTCTATGAGGCGCCATTGGTAGAATGGGCCGTATGCGTCGTCGGGGTTGAGGAAAGAGAACTTCGGGTTGTTTCGCTCTTTCTCGCGAACACGATCTGGAGAAAAGGCGGAATGTGTTAGAGGTCGGAGTCGGAGCTTGGGGCCATGGAATCGGTGAGCCAGAACTTACCTTCGAACACAGAACCGTTTCGAGCAACGTATCCGGCAGTCTTCTCGACGATTGCTGGTGAGATTGTCAGTGTGAATACTTGCGGACGGGTTTGGCCGAAGCTGGGACTGACCGCGAATATCCTTGGGTGGCAATACCACACCCTCCGGGGGTTTGTTCACATCTTCTGGTAACGGAGTACTTCCATTACTAACGGCGGCCATAATTCAAGCCTGTGAGGGAGATCAGTCTGTTGAAGAGACAGAAATCCGAGATGCGAGAGTAGTCTTGCGGGCGTCGGGATGTCCTTTTCGGGCTGGACTTCATCTATAGCGAGTCTCTTCCCGGACGGCGGTTGCTGCGGACTGACTAAGCGCGGGCGGTGAACTTAATGAGAGGATCCGCGCGGCTAGTAGAGATGAAGTGTGATTGGCTGGCGGAAAGCCGGGGGTCTAGGCTTAAAGCGGACGAACGGTTCCTGTCCGAGGTCATACTACGTACCATGATCCCAGTGATGAAATTGCCATGGTATCAGAATTATGGTTATAATTGAGCAAGCGCTGTATATAGAAAAAAAAATAAATAAATAAATAAAATAAATAAAAAACAAAGAAGTAAGGACATTAAGGGCAGTGCATTTTATTGTATACTAAACAGAACTGTGCCCCAACTATCGTGACCATTACCGCCCCCATTTGCCTGGGAGGCAGTGCCTCTCAGTCTCACTATGTACAGTGCATACGTACTGTTTGCATCGGGGCGGAAAGAGGGTCCAGCCGCCGCAGCAGGCCAGCCACCGATCGGAACTGCATGCTTCAATGGATGTTTCTCTCCCTGTCGCTTTCTCTTGCTGACGGGCAGTTTTACTTAGTCTATTCCTACGAGGCTACTACGCAGCTACGGAATACTTACCACTAACCTAGACTTAACCTCCCTCCCGACGATCTGGCCTCAAACCGGTCAACTACGCTTTCATCCCGCCTCCCTAATCGTCCCACACGTGTTGTCTTTGCCCTCTTTCTCCATCCATCTCTCCTCACCACCACCCCATTCCTTTACCTTTCTTGCTGCTGCTTCCCCCCCGCTGTCATGGCCTTTCTTCTTTTTTAATTCTTACACTCGTTCATTGATCTCTTTTCTTTTCCTTTTATTTCTTTTATCTCTCCTATCTCGAACTTATCCCTGCTGCACCAAGCGCCGGGCTTTTTCTACTTCAAGGCTCCCTCCTGGAGTTGGAGCAATTGACTGCACGGCTTTCGTCATTTCGCTGACCCGCAGCAATATCTGGATGATCTAATCGGGTTATTGTTTGTTTAACCCGACCCTTTGAATCTATCCCACCAACTTGCAAGCGTCTTAACAATGGCGTCCCAATCTAAAAACACCTTGGAGGTCAAACTCGCACCAAAGTCGCAATTACGCGCTTCAAGTCGCTCTCCGGGTCCGAAAAGTCGCAAGAATGTGACTGTGCGGGCACCCAGTTACGCTTCGGAAGGTGTTACGGACAACAACATCTTCAAGCTCCCCGCCTCTGACTACAAGACGTTGGTCGTAGTGACCATTGTGGCTGCGGTGGTTCGTCTGTTCCGGATCTACCAGCCCTCCAGCGTTGTCTTCGATGAAGTCCAGTATGTCTTGAGATTATCACCGTTGCGCATAGCCTCTAGAACAACTCCCGTCTGACAATCTGATCAACAGTTTCGGTGGCTTCGCCTCCAAATATATCAAGGGCCGCTTTTTCATGGATGTCCATCCTCCGCTTGCTAAACTTCTCCTCACACTGGCTGGCTGGCTTGCAGGTTTCGATGGCGAGTTCGACTTTAAGGACATTGGCAAGGACTACCTCGAGCCCGGGGTGCCTTATGTTGCGATGCGGATGCTTCCAGCGATTCTGGGTGTCTTGACGGTCCCGTTGATGTTCTTGACTCTCAAGGCGTCGGGCTGCCGCACTATTTCGGCTATTCTGGGCGCCGGTGTTGTCATCTTCGGTTAGTGATGGCTCAGTGGCGGCTAGATAATGTCTGCTAACCCGGCTCAGAAAACGGTCTAATTACTCAATCGCGTCTGATTCTCTTGGATTCTCCGTTGGTATTCTTCACCGCGCTCACAGCTTTGTCGTTCACATGTTTCACCAATCAACATGAAATGGGGCCATCGCATGCTTTCCGTGTATCCTGGTGGTTTTGGCTGGTCGCGTCTGGTCTCGCCTTGGGTGCTACCTTGAGTGTCAAGTGGGTCGGTTTGTTCACTGTTGCGTGGGTTGGATCGCTCACTGTTCTCCAACTTTGGGTCCTGCTCGGCGATACGGTCAATGTCACACCGGTATGCAATGGAACCCTATGCTCCGCTCATGAGAGAAGCTAATATCCTATTTTCTTAGCGTCTTTGGTTCAAGCATTTCTTTGCCCGCTTTTTCTGTCTCATCATCATCCCCCTGACGTTTTACTGCGGGATGTTCGCAATTCACTTCTTGTGCTTGGTCAACCCTGGAGATGGAGACGGGTTCATGTCCTCGGAATTCCAGGCCACCTTAAATTCGAAATCTATGCAGGATGTTCCTGCAGACGTTGTCTTCGGCTCTCGTGTCTCCCTGCGCCACCTCAACACACAGGGAGGCTACCTGCACTCTCACAACCACATGTACCCTACGGGAAGCAAGCAGCAACAAATCACCCTTTACCCCCACAAGGACGAAAACAACGTCTTCATTCTCGAGAACCAGACACAGCCCTTGGGTCCTTACGGGACGGTGGAGGGTCCTCTGGCTTGGGACAACATTACCGCCGAATACATCGAAGACGGCGCTACCATCAAGCTTAACCACTTTGTCACGCGCCGGCGAGTCCATTCGCACGATGAGCGCCCTCCCGTGACTGACGTTGATTGGCAATTTGAGGTCTCAGCATACGGATATGACGGCTTTCCTGGCGACGCAAACGATCTCTTCCGCGTTGAGATCGTCAAGTCGATGTCCGATGGTGAAGAAGCCAAGAAGCGGCTTCGGACTATTCAAACTAAATTCCGCCTCGTACACGTCATGACTAACTGCGTTTTGTTCTCTCACAAGGTCAAGCTTCCTGAGTGGGGCTTCGATCAGCAGGAGGTTACTTGCGCCAGGGGAGCCACGCTACCAAACAGTGTCTGGTATATTGAATCCAACAACCACCCGATGCTGGCTGAAGATGCGGAGAAGGTTAACTACAAGAACCCTGGGTTTTTCGGCAAGTTTTTCGAACTACAGAAGGTGATGTGGGTGACGAATGCCGGTCTCACGGAATCGCACGCCTGGGATTCTCGCCCTCCATCGTGGCCTACCCTACTCCGCGGTATCAACTTTTGGGGCAAAGATCACCGTCAGGTCTACCTCCTTGGTAACCCGTTCATCTGGTGGTCGTCGACTGTGGCTATCGCAGTCTACTTTCTCTTCAAGGGCGTTTCTGTCCTTCGTTGGCAGCGGAGCTGCGGTGATTATCGCAACGTTAATTTCAAGCGTTTTGACTACGAGATTGGCACCACCGTCCTCGGCTGGGCTTTCCACTACTTCCCTTTCTATCTCATGGCCCGGCAGCTCTTCTTGCACCACTATTTCCCGGCGCTGTACTTTGCGATCATGGCACTCTGTCAGGAATTCGACTTCATCGCCAATCGCGTTAGATCGCTTGGCTTGCCATCCAAGCCCGTGATTGGCAAGATCCTGGCTGGTCTATTCCTTACCCTTAGCATCTTCACCTTCGTCATTTATTCACCCTTGGTTTACGGCAACCCCTGGACCCAGGAAGCTTGCAGACAAGTGAAGCTCTTGGATACCTGGGACTTTGACTGCAACACCTTTTACACCGATGTAGGTACCCTGACCTAGGGCTGAGAAGCTTTGATACTCCTGGGTGCCATGACTGACATATCGCCTTAGCTTAGCCATTACGTGACTCAGTACGTTGATAGTAACGCGAACATGGCTATTCCGCCTACGGAGACATCTGTTCCACAGGCCCCTCCCGTTGCGGCTCCACCTCAGGATGCGCCTCAACAGCATGCTCAGGAAGTTCTTCAGGAAGAGCCTCAAGAGCCTGCGGTTACGCCTCGGCCCCGTCACAGCACCAAGGCACGAGTGGAATACCGCGATCAGGATGGAAACATCCTGGACGAGGAGCTCGTTGCCTCATTGAGAAAGGAGGGCAAGGTGTCCTTCGAGACCCGACACGAGACCTCGACTCGCTTGGACAAGGGCCATCTCGTTGATATGATTGACGGTGAGATCGAGTTTGCTCCGCCGCATCCGGATGTTGAGGGTCAGAACCCCGAAACCATCCAAAGACATCAGCCTCAAGATGTCGAGGAAGGTCCAGCTTCAGTAGTTGGGCACGGTAGCTCCGAGGAACGGAAGAGCTCCGCGGACCCCAAGCCGGCCAGTGAGGTGAATGAGGCGACTAAATCTTGAACGAAATAGACTTGGAGCATGTAGTTGGGGGTTGTTTGTATTTTCATCCGATCTTTAGCTCTGCTTATTTACTTTCCTGTACTTCTCTTCGACAGTAATCTTTCCTCATTGGACTAACGAGATGTGACTTTTTGTACATGAATACCTGTTTGCGAGATCAATGAAGTACTCTACTACTTATGACATCTTACACATTAAAGGATCAGGTATTTGTAAAACGAAACAAGAACAGAAACGATAGTCTTTCAAAAAAAGAATCTCGTCAAAAAAAAGAACTATGCACAAAGCTGTTATCAGTACTCTCTCTCTCTCCTTTCCCACATGAACTTCCCACTCTAATCTTCACATCTTCACACAAGTTTTAGTGTACAGCGGTCAGTTGCCGATGTTGCCTCAACTTCACTTCATTAATCGAATCCCTTCCGCATGGTGCGGGACCGTTTAGTAGTCCCACTCCTCCTTACCGTACTTGTTGAAGCGCTCGTGGAGGTCCTAGCATTAGAGGATTAGCAACCTTGTTCTTTCAATGCCAAAGAACCGAGTACATGGGGGGTGAGGGGCTTCTTATATGAAAGCAGCGGCTACTTACGGCGGGGAGAGTGACGTTGGGGACGATGACAGTGTTCAGAGCACTGGGAGCGTTGCGCAGGGGCTGGCTCTTGTCACCGTGGGGGTGGTACTGGTACTTGTAGACCTTGCCCTCGGCATCGGCCTGCTCCCAGGGCATGGCACTCTCGCCGATGCGGACGTTGCTCTCGGAGGTGACGGAGGTGGGCTTGCGGCCGAAGTACCTGCA